CATAGTGAGTTCAAGGCCAGCCTGAACTACTTGGTGAGAGCCCCCCCCCATCTCAAAAACCAAAACTAGGGCCGGGGATTTAGCTCAGTGGTTCCAGCGCCTGCCTCTCAAGGACAAGGTCCCGAGTTCGATCCCGGTATCACACACACACAAAAAAAAACAACTAAAAAATAATTTGCTGGGAATGGTGGCACACACCTGTTATCCCAGAACTCTGGAGGTTGAGGCAGGAGGATTGCTGTGAGTTCAAGGCCAGCCTTAACTAAATAGCAAGACTCTGTCTCAAAAAAAAAGAAAAAAGAGAAACAAGGAAACCAGATTGTAAAGATATGGAACTGGATAAGATTACCCAGAAATTGTAATTTTGAGAGTTTACATACTTTTTATTTGGTTTTTTTTTTTTGGTACCAGGGTTCGAACTCCAGTCCTTGCACTTGTGAGGCAGGCAGCAGAACCACTGAGCTAAATCTCCAGCCTACATACTTTTTAATTAAAATATTTGTGATACATAATGAATATATTCATCGTGGGGAGTTGATACATATACATAGTGAATCAATCCTTTTTACTTTCCCTTTCTTCTCCTCTCTCCCTCCATCTCTAGATACTTTTCCCATCTGCAAAAGGCCTACCTGCCTGTTTCTTATCATCCTTTATTATTTTGCTCTTTCAGTTATTTATACTTTGGGCTTCTCATATCAGAGAAACCATGCAATATTTAACTTCTGTGTCTGGTTTATTTTACTTAGTATAAAGGTCTCAAAGTGCATCCATTTCCTCCAAATGACTCAAATTTATCCTTCTTTATGGCTGAGTAGTACTCCATTACATATATATTATATATATATATATATATATATATATGCCATTTTCTTTATCCATTCATCTGTTGGTAGATGTCCAAACTTTCTGAATGCATACATTCATGAAAATTATGTCCTCAATATATTATATACGTTATACTTTGCAAAACATACATAAAAATGGAAAGTTAAAAGGAAGACTTAAACCCTTCAGGAACTTACTGTTGTGCTACAAATAGAGTCCAAGCAACTTACTACCCTCTGCAAGGCCTGCACTGGCCATTAGGACTCCTTGGTCTACTACATGGCAGCTATTCTGGATTTGCCCTTCCTCCAACTCACCAAATTTTGTCTCACTTCAAGGATCTTGAACTGCTCTTTTCAGTCTGTCTTGCCTATTTTTCCTTCTGCCTAGAATATACTTTTTCTACTCTTCTCATAGTTACTTCAGCTTCAGTAGGACCTCCTTCCCATCTAAAGGGGAGGGGACACCCCTCACTTCTAGGCTGTTCCACTGTTCTTTTTCCCTCAAGCAGGTAGTACACCTTGCAATGACATATTTGTGTGTTTAACTGCTTAAGATCTGTTCCTACTGCTAGATGGGAAACTTCATCAGGAAAACAACATTATCTGTCTTGCTGGTATTTTTCTGTGTGGTAAGATTGAGACAGGGTTTTGCTGTATAGTTCAGACTGGCTTTGAACTCACTATGTAGCCCAGGCTGGCCTTGAACTTGTAGTGATCCTCCTGCCTCAGCCTCCCACCTGACGGGATTACAGGTGTGTGCTACCACGCTTTGTCTTGCTCATGATTGAACCTCCTCACAATGTGTCTGAAACACAGGATAAACATTGGGTTACTAAATGTTGTGCTCCTAAACATCTTCCAGTTCTCTCTACGCTGTACTAGTCCAGCTTTCCTTGCCATTTTTTGTCCCTCCTCTCCTACTTAACTCAGCCCACAATGAGGATGAATATTGGCCCCTAAAGTATTCCCCTCCCCACCTCAGTCCCTTTGTTCATTGTATGTCTTCCACACAACAAGCTCCTTTAAGGATTGTCTCAAGCACTATGAATCATTTTCTGATCCCCAATACATGTTGTTTCTGCTTTGAACCTCAAAATATTTAGTAACTTTTCCTGTCCAGCTTTGCTTTAATCTTCACTTCTAAAGTAAGTGAGTGTGCAACAAACTTACGGAGTGACAGAGCTGAAAACTTCTACCCTACAGTAATTTTCAAATTGTAGTGAACATCAGAACTACATAGCAAGCTTAATAAAATGCAGATTCCAAGGCACCAAAGAGAACTTCAGTAAGAATCTACATTATTTTAACCATTCTTGTGAGGTTTTTGTTTTTGTTTTGAGACAGGGTCTCGCTTTGCAGTGCAGGCTAGCGTTGAACTCACTATGTTTTTTTTGTTGTTGTTTTGGTACCGGGGATCGATCTTGGGTCCTTGAGCTTGCGCAGCAGGCGGCGAAACCACTGAGCTAAAATCCCTGCCTTGAACTCACTATGTAATCCAGGCTGGCCTGGAACTTTCTGGCCTCAGCCTCTTGAGTGCTGGGATGACAGGCATGCAATACCATGCCCAGCTTTCTTTTAGTTTTTTGAATACAGGTTGTTGTTTTTTTTGTGGTACCGGGGATCAAACTCGGGACCTTGTGCTTTCGAGGCAGGCAGCGGAAGCACTGAGCTAAATCCCTGGCCCTTCTTTTAGTTTTTTGACAAAGGGTTTCACTATGTAGTTCAGAATGGCCTTGAACACACTATGTAGCCCAGGCTGGCCAGGAACTCATAGTGATGCTCCTGCCTCAGCCTCCCGAATATTAAGATTACAGGCGTGTGCCACTATGTTCAGCTATTTCAAGCATTCTTTATGACTCTAGTGCCCACCAGCTTAAGAACATCATAACAAGTTACCTTAAAGACAGCAGAATCCCCAGAACCAAGGTTCATTGATAAGTCTTAGAAAAGGGAAGGGGCTCAAAGGTTGAATCCTTACCTTTTCCTTTCCAAGAGTTTGGTTTGATGAACAAAGGCTCCAAAGTTATTTGCTTTTCCTTTTTTAATTCCCTTTCTGTTCCAACTTCCCACAAAATTATCCAGAAAAACCCAGTAACTAAAAGGAGACTTCAAAGAGCCAAGGTAAACCAGCCCAAGAGAAGCAAGCTCCCTCCTGCTGGGCCCAACATCTGGATGCTAGTGTCTCCACTCAGAGCCTGGTAGTAAAAGCTGGTGCAGAATAAGGTGGTTCCAGAAGCTAGCAGCAACCCGGCCTGTAGGAGACACAGACAGAGTAGTCTTGTAAGAACAGGAAAGAATGAGGGGGAGTGGATGGGCTTGCTCAGGATTAGGCAGGGGGACAAATTACCCAGAGGGGCTTTCTGCAATGGGATACCCCTAACAGGGCCAGACTGTGAAAGAAGTGGTGTTTGTTGGCCTTGTCAAAGAGCTGTAAGAAAAGAGACACGGGGGTCTTCCTAAGCAAAGCAGGCAACTAGATCCCATGGTGACACACGAGATCAAAGTTTGCCACCCCACCCCCAGCCTTAAGTCCCGCTTGCCGCTCCCTCAGGCACCCACATCACAGGCTTGTAGCATTTGCTGCTCCAAAGACTCTCACTTTCCCCTAGCCCCCACTTTCCTCATGGACCCTAGACTCTGTGCCTTCTTAGACCAGCGAGTCGGGGAGCCCCAGCGCAGTTATTTCACCTCCTTCCCGTAGGCATCCGGGAACTGAGCGCCTGTAGAGAGGAGAGGCAAAGGTTATCAAACATAGCGCCAGGCCCGACTGTCCTCATACGCGGGATACCCAAGTGGACTTTGTGAGAAAGGGCGACCCCAAGGAAGCTTCCGATTGGTGGTGGAAACAGTCCTGGGAACCAACTGGACCCGATGAAGGACTTTAAAAGATTTAGGACAAAACAAAAAAAGATTTAGAGCTCAGGGCCGGGATTTAGCTCAGTGGCACTGCGCCTGCCTTGCAAGAGCAAGGTCCTGAACTCAATCCCCGGTACCACAAAAACAAATTTAGGGTTCCGCGGACAGTCACGGGGTGGGGAGCGTGGGACACTTCCCATAGGCTCTGCCCCTGCATCAGACCCCCAGAGGTCGTCCCTTGCATGTCCCAGTTGCGTCCCCAGGTTCCTGACCGTGCGCCCCGTAGGTGGCCAAGCCCAAGGCCCCAGCTCCTGACAAGGCACCCAGGCGACGGAAAGCAGCTCCTGGCCCGGCCATGGCGGTAGATGGTCACGTGCGGGACAAACACCGCCCAGGCCACCCAAGAGGACAACCAATCCCGATCACCCAAGCAAATAAGGTCCATAGGTGCCCAATGAGAGCCGAGTTCATTTCCAGCACCCGAATCCCCCAGGCGGATATTTGCGCCTTTGTAAAACCACTGCTCAGTGGCAAAGACGTCTGGCGGGTGGAGAAACTAGAACCAATTAGCAGCGAAAGAATGGAGCAGTGAGGGGCGGAGTTGGAGGCGGGACTAAAGGATTTGCGTCACGGATTGGCCCACTTTCCAAGTTGATCACCTCTTGGAACCCTCCCTGCCCGCACCTCTGGCTAATTTCCAATGATCCCGGTCCCCACGCAAAGTTCCTCCCCTTTCCCTACTGGCTCCTCCCATTCTGCTTCAAACCAGACCCACTCCCAAAAAGAGGCGTTCCCACAGATTCCAGACCCCACCCATCGCTGTTAAGCCCCCCCCAGTTCGCCACCGGCCTCCTCCTCCCTGTCTTTAGGCTCCGCCTTCTTCGTGTGATGCCGGCGTCCCTATAGTTCGGCTCCACTCCTCCTCCCTCTCTAGACCCCGAGAGCCCCAAGGGTGGGAGATCCGGGGGGACGTCTCCACCCTGCCCCGGCTGGCTATATCCTGTCCACTCCCACCCCCTTCTACTGTCTCCAATCCCCCCACACTCCGGAGGGCGGGCGGGAAGGCGGGTGCGAGCTAGGGGTGTGCGCCGCTCTCTCGGCAGGGGGCGGGGGAGGCGGCCGCGCGGTGACGCGCGGGGCTGCTGCGGCTGCTCCGCCGGCGGATCATCACTCTCGGGCTGGGATGGACGCGAGGCGGATGGGTCCCGGCGAGCGGAGCCAGGAGTCCGGGCCTCCTGGCTGCTGAGCCTCCCTCGAAGCCTCCCTTCACCCCCGTCTTCCCTCCTAGGAGCCGCGCCGACCTCTGCTTCGAGGGTTCGGGCACGGGTCCCGTCCTCCTCTGACTCCCCGGACCTCCCCCTCCCACCCGCCCTCGGGATCGACTAGATTCCTCCCCCTCCCTGAGGATTCCGGCTGGATCCCTGCCCCTGCACCGCGGATCCTGCGCTCCGGGGCCCTGAGCCCCTGGGGATTGCCGTGGACTCCTCCTTCAGCACCCGATCCCTTAGGATCTTCCGCCCGGACAGCTTTCTGGTCCCTCGAAGCCAGCCCACGGAGCCAGTGGATCTCCAGTCCAGTCTTGTCCCGTCGTCCCCTCCTTGCTTTGCCGTCCCCTTTGGGGGGTTCCCTGTTCTCAGGCTCCCCCAGACCCCATCCCCTAGCTCTCCTTTTCCCAGGGATCGACTGGATCCCGGCCCCGCCCCCCGGGGCTGGGGCGATCCCCCTCCCCCTCCCGGTGAGGCGCTGCAGGCGGGGGCTGGGCCTGCGGGGCCGCGGGGGCTCAGAGGCTGCCGCCCCCCTCCCGAAGCCCGTCGGCCCCCTACTCGGAGCCCTGGATGGAGGCACCACGGCCCCAGGGCTGAGCCAGGTAGGAGCTAAGCCAGGCTGGGTGGAGGGGTTTGTGTGGCGGTCCACTGGGGTCTCCCTCTCCCCGTCTTCTTCCCTGCGCCTGGTTTCCCCCAGCCTGCTCTGTCTGCGTGTCTCCGCCTAGGGATGCTCTCGCCGTGTCTCTGCGTCTTGGTCTCTTTGTCTCTGCCTCTCTCCAGTCCATGAATGATCCTTTGAATGGGCCCACAGACCCCGTGTGTTCCCATCTCCCCTTCCCCCTCCTTCTCCCCTTCCCGGCCAAGCCATTTTCCCCACTGCGGGAAGCAGGAGGGGGGGGGCTGCGGCCTGAGCCCCCGTCCCTCAACTCTACCGGCTGAGGGAGTCAGGCCTGGGCTGTAATGGAGACAGCAAGGCAAAAGGATGGAGAGAAGGACAGGGAGCAAGATGTGGCAGAGCTGAGATGAGGAGAAAATGGGGGAGATAGAGATATAGAAAGATGAGAGAGAGAGAGAGAGGGAAAGAGAGAGAGAGAAAGCACACTTGAGGGAGAAAATTGGGGAAGGTATTTGGAGGAGACAGATGAGAAACACCAAAGAGAGAGATATAAAAGAGAGAAATGAAAAAAGAGGGGTGAAAGACTGAAGGCAAGAGCTACAGCAAGCTGTAAGAGGGCAAGGAAAACTGCTCCAAGGGAGCGCTATGGAGGGGAGAGAGATGGGGGTGCTCCAGTGGGAGGGAAGACGAGAGAGAAGCTGCTTGGAGGGGAGGAGGCCAGGGGCCCAGGAATCCTAAAGAAGAGGGGGTGACTGAGGCAGACCATTTGGGGGGAGGGGAGGAGGCAGCAAGGCCACAGTTGCTGAGCCTAGCCTGGCATAGGAAGCGATCCTGGGGGAGCCAACTCCAAGCCCCCTCCAGTTGAGAGGGAACAGGAGCTTAAGAGGATCTGAAGAGGGGGAGGGTGCCAGGGTGTGAGTGGTAAGGATTCCTGTGTCCTCATCTCTGGAATAAATTGACACCTGCAGAGAGCCACCCGCAGGCTGGTGCCTGGCTCTGAAAACCCCAAGTCAGCAAACAGCTCTGGCTGCTGGTAGGGGGGTGGGGGGGCTTGCGGAAATGAACTGGGTGCCTGCCCCTTTGGTCTGATCTCTTTTCCTGCCTCTGCTGCTCTGAACACCCAGGCATCAGAGCAGCAATGGTAGGGGGCTGGCAAGGGGAAGGGGAGGTGAATGGTTGGGATGGGATGGGATGGGATGGGATGGGATGGGATTGGATAAGATGGGATGAGAGCTGAGGTTTGCCACCAGGACATAGGTCAAAATGCCCTGCAAAGAAGAGGTGTCTGGAGTACAAGGCTGTTCAAGACTATGGGAGAGGGCTTATTTGGTACTTCCTCAAGCCACCTCAGCATCCCTTCTCCTCAGCCAGAGGCCTGGTCACTAGGGGTAGGCTCTGATTGGCTAACAAGGGGGCAAGAAGCAGATCTTTTAGGGTTCTCCATGCCCCTAGATTACCCTTCTCAACATATATTCTTCCTCTATTATATGGTTGGAGGAAACTCTAGCATTCTGACTCACACCTTTGCCCTCCCCCTTAGGCCCTCAATGGACCCTTCAAGCAAACTAGCCCCTTCCCCTCTTCTTCCACCCAACCCCTCCAGGGTTAAAGCTGCAGCCCGTTGCCGAGGTAACATTGTGGGGCAGCATCCCGTCGCCCAGCAACCGGCTGCAGGATTATGAATCTGTCCCCGGATTTGCCCCTCCAGCATCCTCTCCCTACTCTAGCCCCTACCTCCAGGCATCCCAACTTCTGAGAGAAGAGATGGCAGTGCCTAGGGATTTATGTGCCTGAGGCCACATAAGTCCTTAGGGAATGGTATCTTGAAGGAGAAAGAAGGTGCTGGGCTTGTACAGTCCCAAGAAAGGCCCTAGTCTGGCCTGGGGAAGGGGTTCAGTGCCATGAAATTAACAGCTCAGGAGTAATTAACACGTATAAACAAACCCGCCACTTCCTGCTAATTAATGACTTGGTATTTTTATTTTCTCTTCCTTGTCTATCTCATTCCCTCCCAGGGAGGTGGGCATTGAGACTCCTGAGTCCCTGGGGAGAGCCTGCCTGGGAGGGATGAAGAGGCTGCAAAGGCACTTGCTGGGACTGGGGAACTGAACCTCTCTCATCTCTGACTTTATCCTGAACTTTTACATTTGCCCCTGCCCCAGCCTGGGTCCCTACTGAGGGGAGGTGGGATGCTGGGGTGAGGAAGAAAGTACCAGGAGGCCTGTGGGTGGAAGAAGGGGGGCAACTTGTTCTGAAATCCAAGTCACTAACCACTTGTCTCTTCTGTTTCCCCACTCCTTTCTGTCTACCCCATCCAACATCCCTTCCCTTCTTTCACCTCTCCTCTCTATTTTTGTCTGTCTGTCTGTCTGTCTGTATCTTGTACCCTGTCCCTTCTGCTCTGCCTCCTGCAGGTCGGACCTGCCTTCACCTTCTCCCACCTTCTTCCCCTTCCCCACCCCTTGCCCCCTCCATGGAGAGGAACAGACTCCTCTGTCCGGTGTAACCCAGGTCCCTCCCCATACCCCTCCTCCCTCATTTCCCCTGCCCCCTCCTGCCCCCTGGGGCGAGGGGGCCTCCCTCCCTCTCCCCCCCTTCTCTCTCTCTCCGAGGGGGGGGGTCCCGGGGAGGGAGGGGGGGGTCCCCTGATCAGCATGTGGCTCCTGGTGCTGTGTCTGGTGGGGCTGGCGGGGGCTCAACGGGGGGGAGGGGGTCCCGGCAGCGGCCCTGGCAGCCCGGGCCTGGGCCTCAGCAGCCTCGGGGAGGAACGCTTCCCAGTGGTGAACACGGCCTACGGGCGAGTGCGCGGTGTGCGCCGCGAGCTCAACAACGAGATCCTGGGCCCAGTCGTGCAGTTCTTGGGCGTGCCCTACGCCACGCCACCCCTGGGCGCCCGCCGATTCCAGCCGCCTGAGGCACCCGCCTCCTGGCCCGGCGTGCGCAACGCCACCACCCTGCCGCCCGCCTGCCCGCAGAACTTGCACGGGGCGCTGCCGGCCATCATGCTGCCTGTGTGGTTCACCGACAACTTGGAGGCGGCTGCCACCTACGTGCAGAACCAGAGCGAGGACTGTCTGTACCTCAACCTCTACGTGCCCACCGAGGACGGTAAGGGCGTGGGCACAAGGCCTGGCACCCCATGGACACAGCCCACAAACACACACCCTGACCCTCAGGTACCTGACCAGCTCCTGGCCCCTGAGCTGGGCCTTGGTGGGGACAGTGAGCAGCAATATGTTCTTGTAGCCTCTGCACACCCCGTGAGAAGGTAAGGGCGCCTGCCAGGCCTCCCAGGAGCATTCCACACATGGCCACCCCAGAAGCTCTTCATGCCCTAGAGAGCCACGGTAAGGGTAGCAGTCACTTAGCCTAGACTCACCCACCTTGTCTCCAGTGAGGCACACAGCCATCTAATCTCAGTGTGGCTGCTGGAGGGTTCAGGTGATAGAACTAGCACCTGCTTAGAGACCCACTCCAGCCTTGTACCACCTCCCACATCTAGGGCTGGACATGGTATACTCATTTCAGCTACCTCAAGGACAACATAGGTTCTTCATCTCTCTCCACCAGGCCAGCCTGGGCTGACTTACATCTATCATGTGACACCCAGAGCCCCTCACTTGAGCTGAGGGCCCTTGGCTGTGGTCCTCTTGCCCGTCTCTTCTGGGAAATTTCTGTCTCCTATACAGAAATCCTTCTACATCCCTGAGGGATCAGAGAAGCTTCTTGCCAAGGGCCCCTCCACTCACTGCACAGCCCACCCATCCATCTCCATCAGAATGTCTTCCCTTGGGCCCAAGCTACTGTTAATGAACTCCTATCTGCTACAGGCCTGCTGGTAGGCCCAGCACACATCCCTGGACAGTTCTGCCAACCTTCCACACACCAAGATGAATCAGAACACCTTCTACCTCTCTACAACAGAGGACAATTGCAGATTCCAGCCACACTAACAGAACATCCCGTGCAAACAGCCCCACATTACCCTTCTGATGCCCCATCTTACTACTCTAAAACATGCCAACACCTCCACAAAGCCCACCCTCTGCTGTGCCTCCCCAGACCCTGTTTCTGTTTCTTTTCTTTTCTTTTCTTTTTTGGTACTGGTGATCAAACTCGGGAACTTGCGCTTATAAGGTAGGCGCCAGAACCACTGAGCTAAATCCCTGGCCCCCCAGACCCTGTTTCAAATAACCTTGTACCCAGGAATCCTTAATGTGTCCTTATACCCCGAGCCTCCCCACAAAATGTATTCAAGAGGCACAATAGTCAGAGTCTCAACCATTCAACTTACAAATCATGCTCCCAGTCATCCAGTGCACTGACCACATGCCCCAATACCCCATATATCACAATTCCCAACACCTTCACAGAACATACACATGTAACTTTTCCCTGAATTGTGAGCCCCATCACCCATACAGCGCCATGCTCCTTGGTACCAGCCACACTGGCCCATGCTAGCTAGTATCTCTAGATATAGATCATGTGCCCTGATAACACCCACACATAGACCTTATACTCCATGACTCTTCATTTGGACTGTGCTCCAACAGGCTACTCACACCACTGTGCCCAACACCCTCAACTCATCTCACATGTTGTCTACCTAAAGATGATGTGAACCCTTCTCACAGATCAAGTACTCATAACACCTTGCATCCCGCACCAGAATCTTCCCATGCTAACCACAGAACAGCTTATGCACTCAACCCATCCATGTACATCCCAACACCTCCCATATGGACCCTGTGTCCCTCGTTTCAAGTGTGTACCCCAACCTCTTAATTACTCCTCCTCATAAAACCCTGCCTTCTAACAACCCAAACAGTCCACAGAAATATCATCCACACCAATCCCATCTAAATTTATAAGCACCCTGATCCCCCACAGACCATTTACTTGAGCACACTCCACATATCTTCAACTCTCCACACAAGAAACGGACACTTCACATTCCTCTGCCCTCTAATGGACCACCTACCCATCAACCTGTGGGTCTCTCACCCCAGTACCTCCACAGACTGTCCATCTCATCTCAACACCCCCCACTTTCTGACCTTCCACACCTACACTTTCACATAGGCTGTCCACTCCATATCTTGTTCATGGAGGCTTTCTCAAATGCCCCATATGAAGTACCCATCACTTCCTACCACTGGACCGTTCTACCCAACACCTCCACACAAATTGTCTGCCCCTACCCCCACACCACCTATGCCCACACTTTCTGTATTTTTAACCATTGTTTATTACAGACCTGCTTGAGGCCTGACATATTCAGGTGATTTCACTGAATCTTCACACTGGCTCTAACAGGAAGAGGTTGACTCAGGTGCACTTGAACGCACACACACACACACACACACACACACACACACACACCTACCTACTTCATATTTGCATGCATGTGTGCATGCCCTGCTGACTTCATTCCCATTCACACTCTCTCACAAAGAGTCCCATTCCCAATGAGTTCCCTTGGGGCCAACATTGCCTGTAAGGAGAAGTCTTCCAGATCTAGCCTGGGCCTTGCAAACCCATCCCTCCCAAGACATTGAGAAGAAACCAGCCATACTGGGAACCCCCTGAGGCTTTTGAGTTCCAGCTTTACCCTGACCAATCCCCTAATCAGTGAAGCCTGAAGACTATCTCTGGGTTTAGTCCTGGCCCTTTTCCTGGCACTGGGCCCACTTTATGCTTCCCAGCACCTCCCACCCCAGCACCTTATGTGTCAGGCTGGGTCAGGAAACTGTGTATCCTGTTCCCTGTTTCCAGACTGAACCCTCCAAGTGGAGAAGAGGGCTTTTTGACAGTGGAGCAGGGGCTGGGGGGTGGGGCTGGTGGCAAGTTCACAATTTGGGGGGAGGAGAGGAGGCCTGGGTAAGGGACAAGGTTAATGGGAGTGTGGAGGGATGAGTTGGAGTGGAGGGCAAGACCTGATGACCCCTTTCCCTGCTTCGCCCACACTGGAGAGATGGGGTGAGAAGCCAGGCCTATAAATGCAGACGGAAGAGAAATGCTGGCGGGTGAGGCTGGGAAGGTGGGCGGGTAGCCCTAGGTGACCTCCCCATAGCCCTCCAGTGGGGAGCAGAGGGCTTCTGGAAGCGTGAGCTTCAGGTGAGCTGCCCCCAAACCCCTTCTGCCCTCTCCTCTCCTGAGTGGTTCAGAGGGAAGCAGAGTCCTTTCTGCACTGCCTTTCCTCTCTATAGTCTGGGTGCAGGAGACAGCACTTGGCTGGTCCCAAAGGGGGCCTCTGTGAGAGGGGGCCTGGGTGGCAGCCAGCCTTGGTCTCCTGGGCTTCCCCTTCCCTCCCACCACCCCTCTAACACTGTTTCATTTCCAGCAATTAGCAAACACACCAACAAACCAAATCCTTTCCCACCAAGTCAGTATGTCTTAAGACAGGCCTCAGCCCACTCAGGCACCCCGCCCCCTCAAAACCCACCTTTTCTTTGGGGCATGACTTTTTCCGGGGAGGGGAACAAAATTGGGTAATAGAAACGTTTTTCTCTTTTCTTGGTTTCTTTTTCTTGCAAACGAATTTTGCTTTTTTTGGCTTATTTTTTCTGCCTCCCCCCACCCTCCCCTTTTCTGCTTTCTCTCCTCCCCTCCCCATCCACCACCTCTCCCAACCCCCATCTTTCCCCACAAAATTGTCCTTTTTTCTCTGTTTTGTGTTCCCGGTCTTAGGTCCGCTCACAAAAAAACGTGACGAGGCGACGCTCAATCCGCCAGACACAGGTAGATTTAAAAATCCCGCTGCTGCATGTGATTGCTTATAAGAGAACGTTCATGGCCCTGCCCCTAACTAAATGTCCCCACAGCCCTCAAGGCCCCTCAGTCATTCTCCCAACTAAAAAAAAAAAATGAAAATGAAAAAGAAAAGAAAAGAAAAATTTTTAATAATTGGAAAAATGAATTATGAAAACTTCAAATGAAATTTGAACAATGTTGGACCCACTAGAAAACCTGCAAGAAAAGCTAATCATGGTGAAAATAAAGTGGAAAAAGAAAAGAAATTGGAATGTCAGAAAAAAAAACCCCAAAATTGGATAAAATGTTTATAGTTTGAAAGAAATTTGGACTGTCTTGAAACTTGTGAAATGTACCATTCAAGAAAGCAACTTTAATTTGGAGCAAAACAACATTTAAAAAAAATTATAAAGTTGGCAAATTGATGACACAATTGAAACATCAGAAATCTGCTACAATTTCCAATAGCCTATGAGACACAGAAAATGCAAACATTTGAAGTGAATCAAAGAATTTGGAAACTTTTGAAAACAAAGCCCAATGTCTTGACATTTCACCACAAAATTTTGAAAAAAAAAATACAAAGAATTTTTTCTTTTTTTCTTTTTTTCCAAAATGGAGTTTTTTGTTTTTTCTTTTCTTGTTGAATCTGCCCCAAGAGCTTCTTGCTTTTTGGTTGTTGTTTTTTCTTTCTTTCTTTCTTCTTTCTTGATCCTGTTTTTTGTTGTTGGTTTTGAATTCTTGTTGCCCCAGACCCTCTTCCTGCTCCTTCCCTTTCTGAATCCCCTCACCCCACACTGAGAGGGGGTGGGGGGAGAATGGAGAAGAACCAAAGACATCTAGATGGGATCTAGGAGGGAAGGAAATTCCAGCCTGAAGCTGATGGCAAGTCTGGAAGGAAGGGAAGAACAGGATTTGGGGAGGACACAGAGGGTGCTGCCCATCTGGGAACTCTGGTGAGGAAGTCAGGAGGCTGCAGTGAAGGCCTGAGGCAGAAAGCTGGCTGGGAGGAGTCCAGGGGAACAACTGAAGGCTGACCTGGCCAAAGGAAGTTTACAGTGTTGAGGAGCTGACCAAGGTGCTGGGGACCAGCTGTAGGGTGCCCAGGCCTGGGTCCTGTTTGCTGAGCACCTAGGCAAGCTTGGGGGGGCAAAGAGGAGGGCCTATGGGCTAAGGATTATCCCAAACTGGCACTCTGACTGAATCGTGGGAGAGCTGCAGGGTACGGTAGTATAATTTTGGGGACTCTGGCAAGCCCTCTGTCTCCTACCCTCTAGGAATTTATCACTGTAGTCCCATCTGGAGTCTTGAGGGCCTACTACATGTGATAATGACTAAAGAATTCTTTTGGGGTTCTGGCAAGGCAGGAGTCCAGGGCTCAGGCCAGTTTGTGGGTGTTCAAGAGTCAGAGTTGCACCCGGCTTCATTAGGCAGGCTCTTTCCCACCCTGCCTCCTCCTGCCACAGTAATTAGGCTGGGGGTTGCCATGGTAACTGGAGAGGTGACCTAGAAAGGAATTAGGGCGGGGAGGAGACCAAGCCCCCAGGGACCCTAAGGCCTCGCACCCCCTCACCCACAGACCAGGGTGCCATGTGGAGCAGAAGCCCAAGGCCTGAGTGTGAGGAAATGCCAGGACTCTCCCAGCACCACCAGCCCTAGTTCTAGCCTTATTGTGCTTGTCCAGGAGCAGGAAGGAGATTCACTGTGTGTGGGGAGGGGTCCCTGGACCCAGCAGATGCTCTGAGGAGGGCTTCCTCCCACCCCGGCCACCACTGGGCTTCCTGGAAGGTCTGCCCTGCATTTGGAGATGTGCTTGGGGATAAGCTGGCCTGCAGTGGCAAGGGACCTTCCTCCAGGGATAGCTGTGGGGGAGGAAGGGGAATCCGGTCTTGCCCCCCAGGGATGGGAGTGACAAGTCCTCTGAGCACCAGGCTGGTCCTCAGCAGGCCTGGGAGCTGATGGTGCTACTTCTACTCTGACTGTGTCCTTGTCCCCAATCTCCTGGCCTACCTGCTGCCCCTTCCGCGCAGATATCCGGGACTCTGGAAAGAAGCCTGTGATGCTGTTTCTACATGGTGGCTCCTACATGGAAGGCACAGGGAACATGTTTGATGGCTCAGTCCTGGCTGCCTATGGCAACGTCATCGTAGCCACACTCAACTACCGTCTTGGGGTGCTCGGTGAGGGTGGGCAGCCAACTCTGGGGGGTGGAGTTTGGGAGGCAGGCCTGGTGGGCAGGGCTCCTCTAAACTCAGCAGAATGGCTTCTGGGCTGCACCAAGTTGCCCAGAAAGGGCACCTCCAGGAAGCCCCTTTCTTCTATCTCCAGGTTTTCTCAGCACTGGGGATCAGGCTGCAAAAGGAAACTATGGGCTCCTGGACCAGATCCAGGCCCTACGCTGGCTCAGTGAAAACATTGGCCACTTTGGGGGTGACCCCGAGCGCATCACCATCTTTGGGTCTGGGGCAGGAGCCTCCTGTGTCAATCTGCTGATCCTCTCCCACCATTCGGAAGGTACCAGTGGCCTCCCCAGCCTGCCCTTCCCTTCTCACAGCCCTCACCCTACCAGGTCACCCTTCTTTTTGCTGATACTCATAGCCCAGCCTGAGATATGCCTCTTCTACCAGGACTTTTCCAGAAAGCCATTGCCCAGAGTGGCACTGCCATTTCCAGCTGGTCTGTCAACTACCAGCCGCTCAAGTACACGCGGCTGCTGGCAGCCAAGGTGGGCTGTGACCGAGAGGACAGTGCTGAAGCTGTGGAGTGTCTTCGCCGCAAGTCTTCCCGGGAACTGGTGGACCAGGATGTACAGCCTGCCCGGTATGGGGGTGGGAGAGGGCCAGGGCCAGGCCTTCACTCTTCTTGCTGGTTCTAAAGAGTTTGAGCTGAGCGGTGCCTGCAGGCATCCCACTGGGCAAGGAGAGGTAGCTTCAGGCCCCACTAGTGACCTCTTTGCAGCCTTCCATCAGTGAAGGTGGTCAAATAGAACAAGTGAGCTCCGAGTGCCACACAATGCTTCAGGATGATTTTGGGGGCGGTCAAGTGCCCTGAAGGACTCTAGGAGGTCTTCAGGTAGAGGGGAATGGGTCTTTCTGGCCAAGGGAGATACCTGCAGGTGGGCTTAGTGGGGCAGGAATGGAGAGGAGGCCAGTGAGCCGGTAATGAGACCCTGCCTCTTCTCCCCAGCTATCACATTGCCTTTGGGCCCGTGGTGGATGGTGATGTAGTTCCTGATGACCCTGAGATCCTCATGCAGCAAGGAGAATTCCTCAACTATGACATGCTTATTGGAGTCAACCAGGGAGAGGGCCTCAAGTTTGTAGAGGACTCTGCAGAAAGTGAGGATGGTGTGTCTGCCAGCGCCTTTGACTTCACTGTCTCCAACTTCGTGGACAACTTGTATGGGTACCCAGATGGCAAGGATGTGCTGCGGGAGACCATCAAGTTCATGTACACAGACTGGGCTGATCGTGACAATGGTGAGATGCGGCGGAAGACTCTGCTGGCGCTCTTTACAGATCACCAGTGGGTGGCCCCAGCTGTGGCCACCGCCAAGCTGCATGCCGATTACCAGTCCCCTGTCTACTTTTATACCTTCTACCATCACTGCCAGGCTGAGGGCCGGCCAGAGTGGGCAGATGCAGCACATGGGGATGAGCTGCCCTATGTCTTTGGTGTGCCCATGGTGGGTGCCACTGATCTCTTCCCCTGCAACTTCTCTAAGAATGACGTCATGCTCAGCGCAGTGGTCATGACCTACTGGACCAACTTCGCCAAGACTGGGTGAGGGCCAGAGGGACTGGTGGGGCTGGGGGGCACCCCTGAAGGCCAGGACACCCTCACCATCTTCAACTGATCCTCTCTCCTTCTCTCCCTCTATCATTTGGTCATCATTCCTATGGGAAGATACTCACTTTTCTTCTCTTGCTCAAGTGAGACTGACTCAGACACTAGTGAACATCTCTGTACCCAGCACTGAGCTAAGGGTTGGAGATTCAGGAGAGTTAGAAGTCTCTGTCCTTCCTGGGGGTGGGCTCACTCTGGCTTTGGCTCGGCGTCTGTTTCTCCTTCCTCCCTTGCCTCCATCCTCCACCAGTATTCTGCTCCTATCTGACTACTGTGGTGTGTGTATGTAAAGATTTGTCTTTCTCTCTGTCTGTATCTCTGTCTGCTAAGATCCACTGACATCTCCCCCTTTCCCTCTTTGATCTGTTTACTTTTTGCTGTCTCTGGCTGCTGGCTGCTTTTGCCCTGGATGTCTCTGTCTCTAGCTGACTCTCATGTCTTGGTTCCTCCATTTCTGTCTATCTCAGTCTCAGCTTCTGCCTCTTAGTGGCTATTTTTTATCTAGCTCTGTTCCTTTGTCCTCATCTCCAGCTGTCTCTGGCAATCTGTCTTCACCTCTTTTTGTCTCATTGGCCCTGACTCTGGCAATTTTCTTTTTTCTTTTTAATTTTTTCTGGCAATTTCTTTGTCTCTTCATATCCATGTCTATCTCTCTGTCCCTACCACTTTTTCTCTGGCTTTATTTGCTGGGGTTTTTTTGGTTTTTTTTTTTCTGTACAGGGAATGGAACTCAGGACATCATGCTTGCCAGGCAGGTACTGCACCGCTGAACTACATCCCCAGCTCTTTTTTTTGAGGCAGGGTTTCACTTTGTAGTTCAGGCTGGCCTCGAACTCACTAAGTAGCCCAGACTGGCCTTGAACTTGCAGCAATCCTCCTGCCTCAGCCTTCAGAATGCTGGGATTACGTACCGGCATGCACTACCATGCCCAGCTGTCTTTGCTGTCTTGTCTCTACACCTCTGTTTTTTCCTTACCCTCTGCCACTCCACCCTCCTTTGGAGCCTTGCCTCATTATTCCTTTCCTTTGCCCTCCTATGCCCACAGTGACCCTAACCAGCCGGTGCCCCAGGACACCAAGTTCATCCACACCAAGCCAAATCGCTTTGAAGAGGTGGTGTGGAGCAAGTTCAACAGCAAGGAGAAGCAGTACCTGCACATTGGCTTGAAGCCACGTGTGCGTGACAACTACCGTGCCAACAAGGTTGCCTTCTGGCTGGAGCTTGTGCCCCACCTGCACAACCTGCACACCGAGCTCTTCACCACCACCACACGGCTGCCTCCCTATGCCACGCGCTGGCCACCTCGCCCTCCCCCTGGTGCCCCAGGCACTCGCCGGCCTCTGCCACCTGCCACCCTGCCGCCTGAGCCCGAGCTTGATCCAGGGCCACCAAGGACCTACGACCGCTTCCCAGGGGACTCACGAGACTACTCCACGGAGCTAAGTGTCACCGTGGCCGTGGGTGCCTCCCTCCTTTTTCTCAACATCCTGGCCTTTGCTGCCCTCTACTACAAGCGGGACCGGCGGCAGGAGCTGCGGTGCAGGCGGCTTAGCCCACCTGGAGGCTCAGGCTCTGGTGTCCCTGGTGGGGGCCCTCTGCTTCCTGCCACTGGCCGCGAGCTGCCCCCAGAGGAGGAGCTGGTATCATTGCAGCTGAAGCGGGGTGGTGGTGTCGGGGCGGACCCTGCTGAGGCCCTGCGCCCTGCATGCCCGCCCGACTACACCCTGGCCCTGCGCCGGGCACCAGACGATGTGCCTCTCTTAGCCCCCGGGGCCCTGACCCTGCTGCCCAGTGGCCTGGGGCCACCCCCTCCCCCACCACCTCCTTCTCTCCATCCCTTTGGGCCCTTCCCCCCTCCTCCCACTGCTACCAGCCACAACAACACGCTACCCCATCCCCACTCCACCACTCGGGTATAGGGGGCGGCTTGGGGAGGCCCTCCTCCCCAGCCTTCCCCAGCCCTGGTCACTCCAAAGGAAGGGAGGAGGACTTGGCAATGGGCTTTTCTCCTGTGGAGTTGTCACATCATCGAGCAACACTAAGGTGGACATGGGATTCCTCACTGGGATGTGTTTTTCCCATGCAAAGAGGCCCATTCTTTTCTCTGGACCTGGGCCTTTGAACAACTAGGGGGGTGTTTTCTGCCTTCCTTTGGGACACCAGTCTTCGGTGTGTGGAAATGTGGAAGTCTTTTCCCACGTGGAGGCGTGCTTTCCTCATGAGGGGGTGTTTTCCCATGTGCAGGGTGAGGTTTTTTTTGCCGCCCTGGACACATGTTGGCCCCCTCAAATAATTTCTGCGGGGATTTGTACCCCAGAATCCTGTTCCCTTATGCCTTCTCCCCCCCCCATCTCCTGGAGACCCTGGAAGTGATGTGTTCACGTACAGTGACCCTTGGCCACCAGACAACCCAAGGTGGTGCCTGGGGAACAGCAAGGAAATCACAGGCCCCCACCCCTGCTTCCCCCTCCACCCCAGCAAAGCATGTTTCTCCCCCATGGCACAAGTCAGATGAAGCACGTTCTCCCAGGGAGGCTCTCACCTTCCACAGATGACAGACACAGATTTCCTGCCAGGGGGACGGGAAGAGATCAGTGCATCCCGGTGCTGCCTGGAAACTTATTTTCCCATGGTCCAGGACACATTTCTCTGAGTGGAAACATGTTCTTGCATGTGGATGTGTGTTTTCCCAGGCAGAGTGTCCCTCTGTCCCCAGCACTTCCCTGCATCCCCTGGCCTCAGGCCCGGCACTCAATTCCTCCTCACACAGCAGGTGGGAACAGATTTCAAATTGACAGAAGCTGAGGGGGATGTACAAACCTTGAGGGAGGCCTGGGGCCCTCCCTCCCGGAGAGATGCTGAGTCAGGGATGGAGGGATGTGGCAAATGCCACCCACAGAGGCCATGCATGTTTGACCAAAGCCCTCATGGGGCCTGAGGACAGCCTTTCCCTCAGTCCTCAGATCATTGCTCATCCGTGCCAAACTGGGTAGGTGGGTTTGAATGGGGTGGAAAGACTCAGAATGTGCCAAGGATCACCCAGTCCTAGGCCAGGACAGGGTAGATGGTGGGGCCAAGTGAGATACTGGGTAGGGAGACATGGCAGCTAAGCGGCCCCCATCTGTGTCTTGTCCTTGTGTCATCCTTTCCTCTCTGCCTCATTCTCCACCATCTCTGTCTCCCTCTTTTAAACTGTCCCCATCTCAGGGCCAGACCAACCTTATCCCCTCTCCTTTGACCTGCCCCACCTTCCCTGGCTGCCAGGGCTAAGGAAAGGATCAGTGGAAGGAGGAGGGGAGGGAACAGAGAAAGGTTTCTTGGGCAGGTTGGGGAAAGAATGAGGTCAGCTGTGCTAGGAGCAGATGGAGGAGGCCGTGGGGGACTGGGCTTGGGCAGACACCAGCAGGAAGAGTTTGAAAGGAAGTGTGTGAGGCCACTGCCCAGAGGTCCTTGGGTTTGGGCCTCTGGAGAAAAGAATGATATAAGGAAGGGTTTTGAGGGACACAAGTAGAGGGGGAGCAAATCCTCCTCTGTGTGGCTTTCTGTGGGATGCAAGTGCCAAATTAGGGGGTAGGTGCTGTCTTCCACTGATGTCCAGATCCAAAAACCCTGGTCTTGAGCCCCGGAACTTTGCCTCTTGACTGTCCCTTCTCCCACCTCCACCCATGGAAACATGGAAATGTTCCTTTTTTGGCCTTTTCCCCTGCCTGGTCTAGCTCCTCTTGGAACAGCCATGCCCTCCAAATGCTAGTGACCTGGGCCCTGAGCCCTATAGGCAGATGTCCCCAGAATAGGGGCATGGGAGGGGGCTGGGGGACCCCATGATTCAGCCACGGACTCCAATGCCCAGCCCCTCTTTCCGAACAATCCCACCCCCCCCAACCCTTTGCGGCTCTGTACACATTTTTAAACCTGGCAAAAGATGAAGAGAATATTGTAAATATAAAAGTTTAACTGTTGGTTGTGCCTGCTTAAGTTATGTTAGAATGTTGGGGGGCACCCTTGAAGTAAGAAGTGTTGGGGGATCTAAACCTCTAGCCCCCTTTTTTAGTGAACAGCTCTGAGGTCTGAGATGAAGGAGAAGTGGGTACTGGGGTAAGATTGCCATAGTAATGGGATTGGAGAGTTAAGATCAGGACCCCTGGGTGCCTGAGAGAAGAATCTGCTGCAGTTCTAGGAAGAGGGACAGGGACAGATGCCAAATAGGGCAGAGGGCCAGTGGGCTGGTCCAGGTGGCAAGCTGCAAGAAAGGCATGCAAGGTAAAGGGTTTGGCCCTGCAAGTCCTGCCAAGCCTGTACTCAGGGTGAAGAGTCAATCTCTGGTCTAGCAGTCTGAGGGTAGCCCTTGGCACATTGTGAGGGAGAGCTGCAGCATCATTGTGACCCACTCACTCACGCTCAGGAACCTCTGAGTCAGGTAGGTGGGCTGGTGGATGCTGGGCAGAGTAGGCTGGGGGTCTAAGGACCCTGGTGGCCCTAGAGACCACCATGGCCATGGCTGAGCATCCACAGCCTGGGTGGGCCTTGTATCACAGCCCCACCAACAACAACTGCCAGGACGTGGGCAATTCTATCCTACTGCTATTGGGTCTCATCATCTGCATTAACATTGGCATCAATATGGTGACCCTGGTCAGGGCAGGGTCAGGTGGGAGGGTGTTGGTGGGGTAGCTGGGGGCCAAGCATGATGGCAAGGACCTGCCTGGGGTCACCATGTCCTCCTATACCTAGCTCTGGAGCCGAGTCCGTGTCATCTTACACCGAATGTTCCATATCATCTGTGAGAAAGGTAAGCAGGGCTGAGCATTGGAGAGACAGAAACCAGGCATTCTAGTCCCAGCCCTAAGCTGGCCCCTTGCTGTTTTCCCCTCTCAGCATAGCAGTGGGTGCAGCTTCTCCAGCTTCTCTCCCCAAGGCTTCCTTCTTCCCATAGGATTCAGTCTACCCCCCACCCAGCTTCACCTCTCCCTGATCCACAGAAACTGCTAAGTCATCCTCACTTGGGAAACCAACCAAGCTGAAGAAGCAGAGCTCCCCTGCAGTCCATCTTCGATGCACTATGGACCCTGTGAAAATGACCATGACCCCTCTATCCACTCGTCATCATCGCCATCGAGCCTCTCCATTGTTCTGTGCCTACCACCCACTAGCTTGGACCCCTGATACTGAGGATGAAAAGCCCCCAAATTGGAACCCAACAATCTGTACCCACCACTGGAAAGGCCCCAAAGACTGGGGAGGTTTCCAACACACACCAGAGACCTGGGATTCCTGGACTCAGGACACTCTGGAGCTACCTCCCCATACTATCTGCTTCCAGCAAACTGTAGAGAAAAAGCCACTCAAAACAGAGATCCAGTCCGAGCAGAGCCTAGAGGCCTATGTATATCCGGTAAACCCCTCACCTCCTTGTGGGGAGGCTGTGAACCACAAGAACACTAGGGCAGGGGGAGAGGCTGAGGCCACACAGAGTCACCCTGCCCCACCACCCTTCCTGGGCCCAGCAATCATCCCTGAAATCCCCCGGCGACGGTCCTCGGGCCGTACAGTGTATGATGCCCGAGATGTGAGACGGCGGCTTCAGGAACTGACCCAGGAGGTGGAGGCCTTGTCCCACTGCTACCCCTTTGTGTCTGGATCCAGCACTGCTGAGGGGACAGGCAAGGACTGGGTGTATCATTCTGTGGCAGGGAGGTGACAGGGGAAAAAATAAAAAGGAGAGAGGAGGTAATTCATGGTGGTGTGTGGGGGTGGGAGGCAGGGCCCACACTGCACCCACAAGCCCTGGTTGCTAAGGGAATGATCTCTTTGGCAACAGGACCTAAAGAGTCCTGGGAACCTTCATCAAACTGTTACCCGCACAGGCCCTGTCCTTGGCTTTCTTGATTCCAAGTTTTCTACCTCCCTCCTCTGTTTTTTGCATACTGCCTCCAAATCTGGCCCCAGATCTTCAAACACTTTTGCATTATAGGAGAGAATTCTACCCCCATGACCCTAGCTCCTCACAAGTCTGGTCCTTGCCAGACCCCAAGGGGAATCATGGTTCCCTCTTACATCCTTTGGGTGGAGGAGGAAAGGGTCTCTAGTCCCTACAGTCAAGACCTAAAGCTCCTGCACCCTTATGCAAGCTTGAAGCAGAAGGTGAAATATTGGGAACACTCTTAAGAGTTGCTTCACCATAACATCACATCTCTCTGTGACCTTGTTCCTATCCATGTCACAAAGCAGAGGCAGGTTCAAAAAGACCAAGTGATTCGATCCCCGGTACCAAAAAAACCCCAAAAAACAAAAAAGGCCAAGTGACTTGCTCATGGTCATAGATACAAGGGACCTAGTTCATGGTCCCCAATGTTTCATCCCTCTGCTCCTGCAGGTAGATATATTCCCACTACCACCAAGTCAGACTAGCCTACCAGCATCTCTAACCTGCTTCAGTTTACCAGTGATTTCATCAGAATATTCCATCCCTAGGCAACAAAGGAACTTGAGCCCTACTCTACTCCTAGAGATTGCACATGCATGTGCAAACATAGGGCTTGGGAATAAGGAGTCATGTGAGTGAGGCCAGGCTAAAGGAGCTGGACCTTACCTTCCATACGAGACAGATTCCAGGAATGTGAGCAGACTTCTGTGAATCACCCTACTTCTCTGTTCATTTACATTCAACTAATGTTATTAATCATTTTAACTGATTCCATTCAGTGGGTACATATTGAGTTTCTACTATGTGCTTGAAGGCTTGATGGCAAATACTTATTGCCCATTCCTGCATTTCTGAGTAGTTTACTGTGTGAACAAATTACTTGCCATCCTCAGAGTGCCACTTTCACAGATTCCAGTGACAAATCTAGTTTCCATGGAAGATTCCTTTTGTCATATCAACAAGTACATCTATTTTGCTGGGTGTGGCAGTACACACCTATAATCCTGCTACTCAGGAGGCTGAGGCAAGAAGATCGCCACAAGTTTGAAGCCAGTCTGGGCTACATGTTGAGACTCTCTTCTCTCAAGATAAATCAAAACAAATTACATCTATTTTATGCTTTGTTAATTTCATGTGGTTTTCTTAAGATGGCCCCTGCCAGTTTTTCAACTTGAAGTAGCTGTGAGTCAGTGAAAGGATAGTTGGTTTGGAAGGAGGGAAACCATAGCTGGGATTGGTCTCTAGCAGGGGCAGGAATCTCAGCAAGGCGGAGCCCATCAGCTGAAGCAAAGCAGCCAATTGGCTCAAGCACCTCCAGTGCCTAGGGCTGCAATCCTTGGTTTAGAAGGGTTGGGGAAAGATAAGTGTTAGAGGAATAATGACAGGGAAATCATCAGGACAGGGAGGAATTGGTATAGCAGAATGATTGCAGAGGAAACTCTTGCTGTCACCCATCATCACCTTAGCTCCTATCCCCAAACTAGGCATGGGATGGGGTACACCAACAGGCTACATAGTTTGCCATAATGACTCAAAAGAGCAATGACAAGCCAGGTGTGGTGGTACTTGCCTGTAATTCCAGAACTCTGGGAGGTTGAAGCAGGAAGATTGGAAATTCAAGCCCAGCCTGGGCAATTTAGCAACTTAGTGAGAACCTGTCTCAAAAAAGGGGGGCTGGAGCTGGGTGTGGTGGCACATACCTGTAATACCACCACTCAGAAGGCTGAGGTTGCTATGAATTCAAGGTCAGCTTGGTCTAGTGAGTTCAAGGCCAACCTGAACTACATACAGGTCCTGTCTCAAAAACACAAAAATGCAGGAGAATGGTATATGTCTGGAGATGTAGCTCTGTGTGAAGGCCCTGGGTTCAGTCCTTGGTACTTTAAAAAAAAGAAAGAGGGGCCGGGGATTTAGCTCAGTGGTTCTGCTGCCTACCTCACAAGTGCAAGGTCCTGAGTTAAATCCCTGAAACCAAAAAAAGAAAGAAAGAAAGAAAAAAAGAAAGAGAGAGAGAGAAATTAAATGGAGGAAATCCTTTATGCATGATTCAAACTTTGTGAAGACTGTCTCATGACTAAGGCTGCAATATTTTCAGATCAGGAACCAGGTGTGGGGTTAAGCAAGCCTCACAGAGAGGAAGAGACTGAACTCTGGGATATCTGGAGACTGGTTTCCATCATGTGGGAGAGGCAAGGGTAGAGATGGCTATGAAAAGGGCAAGTAGAGTAGATAAGAGATCTGTCACCTCTATATTGTGACTAATTTGACTCATTATGACCTTGCTCCCTGCCCAGTTAGTTGGTGCCTCCAGGTATGGCATGAGTACAGAGTGGGTTGGGTTAGGGGGGTCCCAGGCGGGCCCAGGACCCCCCCATGGAAAACCAGCTTTGGCATGACACCCTGGGGTTCTGCAGTCAATACCAAGAAAGACCCCAGGATGCTGAGGACATCTTATTCTTGCTGCTGGGCCTCATCATTCTTGTCAACATTAGCATCAACATGGCAACTGTGGTCAGTAATGGTTGTGGACCACCCTTAGGTGTGAAGAGGGATGAGAGGGGGAGCTAGCTGCAACTTGTACCTCCACTTGAAAGAACAGTCTTGACTGGGGCAGGGTGGGTGGTATTGGGGCTGGGAACCTGGCCTTCACTCCCCTCCCTCCCACCATCCCCAGATGTGGAATGGGCTCCAGAATGCCTTAGACAAGATGATCTATTGGATTAACCAGAAAAGTAAGTATGGCAGCTAGAATATAGGGCCTACCACCATCACCACCACCCCTAACCCCCATCACCACCCCCACCCCTGTGGTCCTAGAAACCTATTCCAGTATTCCCAGACTGAACTCTTCTGCCAATAGCCTTGACCTCATGGACTTTTGCCTCCCCCAGATGAAGTCCAGGCTAGTGAATGTTCCTCCAAATATCCTCCAGCCAAGGCCCAGGATGTCCACGTTCACTGCATCCTGGACCCTGTACAAGCGAAGATGGCCCGACCCACACGCTACTCCTCTTCCTCCTCCCACTATCTTCTCAACGGCCACAGTCGCCGCCGCTGTCGCCGCCGCTTCCACCACCACTACCGCCAGCAAAAGCCACAGAACCACAAACAATTCCCCAAGGGCTGCCCAATCTTTCATAACCAACCTTATGGCTACAAGACATCACAGCCACAGCCCGTGCCCTTTTTTGATCTAGAAGACCGTGACCCCTATCTGGAGGAGTTAGAAGACCCGTCTTCCCCAATTCTCAAGTACCCACATCGGTGCAAGGGTGGGGTCTATCAGCAAATGGATGTACCCTCCATTGTGGGGTTGTGGGGCCACCAAGGTAGAAATTTGGCCAGCTTACCACCACCCTCTCTCTACTCGTCACCTGAGCTGCGTCGCTTGCCCAAGCGTGTAGAGGCCAAATCAGAACTGAGGCTGCAGTCCTATGGGCCCCAAGGCTCACAATCCCGAATTTACAACAATGTGGAGGCCAAGCAGTGTACCCCTTCTCCACTGCCTACCCGTCGGCTGCTTCCTAACTCCTCCTCAGTCCCTGGGGGGCAGAGCCCTTACTCTTCAAGGGGCCATGTACTTTGTGACACCTGGAATCAGCACCAGCGTGGTGTGGAGAGCTCTGAGCACCCACCTTCCTCGATGTCCCAAAATCCCCGGCCAGAGGCTCAGGCTTACCAGGAGCACTGCTCCCCACAGTCCCAGGGATGCAGTCTCCTCGGCCATGCTCACACCCAGCCCAGCTGTAGCCCACATCCATTCGTGGAACACTTAGGTTTTAGCTCCCGGGATGCCCATGAGATACGGTGCCGGGTGGCTGACTGGGCTGAGGCTTTGCCAGCTCAGCATCCTTTGACCACCTCCACTTCCCTCACGGTGTTGGGCGAAGCCTCGTACCAACGAGCCCCAGCTGCCAGCTCAGCCTTGCTTCCTCCCTCCTCCCAGCCCCTGCCTGAAGTTGACCCGGCTGTTGATCCCACCCCACCCTCAATCACCTTTGCCCCACTCAGAAGGAATCCAGGGGACAATGCCAGCTACCAGGTGTATGACAGCCTGGAGCTGAAGCGGCAGGTGCAGGAGAGCAGAATAAGGGCCAACTCATTGCCACAAGCTTCCACCTCAACCTCCATGCCTTCTCTACACAGGAACCAGACTGGGAAATGTAACTGACTAGCAAGTGAAAGTGGGTGGTAGGACAGGGTATGGAGAAAGGAATAAAGAGAAATGGAGGCCAGGAAATATTGTGGTAGTCTTTGGTTTGGAAACATTTCCCCAGGCCTTCTTCAAGCCTGGAGCCCTGCCATTGATTTCCTGAAAAGAGATGTCAGTGTCCCCTTCTTGGCACAAGGCTTCCTTTGGTTCATTGACAATGACCCTGACAGCAGGCCCTGCCTGGTCCTGTACCATACACTACGGTCTCAAAGCTGCACACTCAAAACCACAGGTCTCTGTTCTGCACACCCATCCTGTCTCTCTGCTCTCCCTGTTCCCAAAGGAGCTCAGAAGCTCATCCTTGCTCAAACTGAGGTCAGAGTCAAGACCTGGGGGTTCCATTTTAGGCAGATCAAGGCCTGTGGCCCAGTTCAGGGCAGGAAGTTGGCCAGGCTCTAGATTCCACCCAGGGCTCTGAGGCTAAGGTCCAAGGTCTTCCTAGTCTTCGGGGTGAAAGGCTCTGGATTCTCAACTGAAACTGCAGGAATAATGGAATGAGAAGCATTTGAGTGAGCTGAGTGAATCAGCACAATAAGGGAATGATTGGGGAAGGAGGGAGGTGTGCTGGCCTCCAGGCTCAGGTTACTCAGACTTGGTTAACACAGAACTCCATTCTGGGCTCTCCTCTTCCTCCATCTCCCTCATTGTGATCCCAACTACCTGCCCCATTATGACTCAGTTTCCCCCTCCCTCACCAGAGGAGTCTGTCTCCTAGTGAGTATGTGGAGCTTGGGGGGCCCGGGTACTCCTGGGACCCCAGGCCATGGGTGAGCAAGCCTACCATGGAGCCCATGTATGTATGCTCTGGCACCAACCCCAGGAAGTGCCAGGACTTAGGAGACTCAATTCTTCTGATTCTGGGCAGCTTCATCTTGTTCAACGTGGGACTCAATGTGGTGACTCTGGTCAGGGCGGGGAGTGAGAAGAAAGACTGGGGGATCTCTGGGGTCCTGAAAGGGCTGAAGTGGGAGGGCTACTGGGATGTGGCCAGACAAGAGTTGTACTTCGGAACTCACTCTACTTTGGGACTTTCTCCTCCCCTGCTTCCCTCAGCTCTGGAGGCATCTGAAGGGCTCCTTGAGGATTCTGGTCCATCACTTTCCCCCCCAAGGTGAGTGGGCCCTGGCAAGAGCTCCCAGGGATGTGGGCTTGTCTCCTTTCTTCTTTCCTTATCCCTGCTGTCAGCTACTCAGGCACCCAAGCCTTCTCCCATCACTCCTCTCCCTGCAGGCAAGGAGCCCAGTGCTCTAGGCAGCAGGCCTGTGTGCATGCGCTGCACTGCAGATCCCAAGAACCTGTGCTCAAGAGTCTCTTCTTGCTTCCATCATCACCCCAGATTTCTGCTCAGGCATGCTCACCACAACTCCTGCATACCAGACACAAATGATGAAAAGGCTTCTACGTGCTGCGGGATACCACCTCAATGTGGACAAGCTAGGGCTCCCACAGAGGCTCCAGGGGGACTGTGGAAGGAGGGAGCTAGGGAAGCCCCTCAGGCCACAGCCTTGAAGGCCCAGGACTCCCTGCCCTCCAGGACTGAGAATTCTTCCCAGTTCCGGAAAATGAACAAGTTGGACATGAATCCGTTCTCTTTACTCCAAGAGAGCAAGACCAAGACCTCAGACCATGACCCTGCCTATGGTCCTACGAAGGCCAAGAGCCAGTTCTCAGCCTATACCTCAACAGCCCATGTCCCACCCCCTACCCATGCCTCAGCCCCTATCTCAGCCCCTACCCTGGGTCACAGCCAAGCCCACACCCCAGCCTGTCCCCCAGCTCCTATCCCAACCTATGCCCCAGGCCCTACTCCAGCCCAGACCCCAGCCCACACCCCTGAGCATTCCCAGGCCCACAGTTCTGAGAACACCTCAGCTAATACCCCAGCCCACCCCCTAGCCTATGCCTCAGCCCACTCCCAGAGCCGCCATGACCCAGTTCATACTTCAACCCAGGCCTGGACGCATGCCCAGGCCCATATCCCTGAGCACATATCAGCCCAAGCCTCGGGACGTACTCTAGCCAATTCTCATCTAATTCATTCCTATGCCCACACTCCAGTTCCTGCCCCATCCTCTACCACAGCCCCTCCCCCATCTTTTGCCCCAGTCACTCCTGCCATATGCCCTATCCAAGCCCCTGTTCCAGTCTGTCCCTTGACTACCACTCCAGCCCCTGTTCCTGTCCCTGCCACCACCTCTACCCCTATCCTAACTCCTGTTCCCTCTACTCTGGCTGCCTATGGCCCTAGCCACTCCACCGGTCATGTGGCCTATGATGCCCGCAGGGTAAAACAAAACATCTTCCACAAGTGCAATGCCCAGAATTCTGGGTATTCTAGAAAGGACTTGGGTACCCTCTTTGGGTCCCAAGACATGCAGGGCCTGGAGAGTTCTAATACAACTGAACAGACATCAAAGCAAAATGTTGGGAACAATCCTGAGACTCCTGCAGGATCTGTACTGGGCTACCTAGAGTTGGGGAATATGGAATGGAAGATTTCAGATGATGCCAAAAACAAGTTCTCCCAGACTAAGACCTTCCCTTACTACAGCTTCCATTCTTGCAGTTCAGAAAGGAAAAATACAAATTCTAAGGATCCAGCATTCCTGATCTATACCAAGGATGCTGCTCCTTCTAAATATGGCTTTCACTCTCCAGCTACTGCCCAGAGCTCACTGCCCACACTTACTCCACCATGCATTCTTTCTCTTCCACTTGTTTCTCCCAAAGCCTTTGTCCTCACTCACCCTACCAACCATCAGAAGCCCTCCAACTTAGCACAAACTCCCACCTTTCTTCCAACCTCCAACTCTCCTCAATATGTCCTCTCTTCCTACTTTCCTACCCCTCCCCAGTTCTCCACCATTTCCCAATCTCTGATCCAACCCCCTGAGCTTCATGATAATCAAGGTCTTACCGAAAACCCTGGCCTCCAAAGGATTCCATGCCTTTCAAAAGACTCCAGAGTTCCCAGAAATCCAGGCCTTATCCAAAATCCAGGCCTCAACAAGAATATAGGCCTTATACAAGATCCAGGCCTCCGCAAGAATCCACATCTTTCTCAAAATCCAGGCCTCCACAAAAACACGGGCCTTACTCAAGACCCTGATCTCTGCAAGAACCTAAGCCCTTCCCAAGACACCAGCCTTCACAAGAAACCAAGTATTTCTCAAGATCCTCACTCCGAAAAGAGTCCAGATCCTACTCAACATGCTAGTGTCACTGAACCCTCTGGACTCCAGAAGAAAACACCATTTACCCAAACTTCTGACCTTCAGAGGAGTTCAGACATTATACAAGACTCTGGAGTCAGTAGGAATGTTGAACTAAACAAAGAAGACACTGTAGTCTATAAAAGTCAAGACCCCTCCCAAGTAACTGATCTCCAAAAGAGGCCAGGGCCTTGTCAAGATTCTGGAGGCAACAAGAGTACAGGAAATATCCAAGATCCAGGAGCTCATGGGAGCCTAGGCCTTATCCAAGATTCTAGAACACAGAAGAACCCATGTTTAGTCCAAGACACTGAAGTCAACAAAAGTTCAGAACTTACTCAGGAATCTGGTACCCATAGGAACCCAGACCTTGTCCAAACCACTGGCCTCCATAAGGTCTCGGGCCTCACCCAAGACTCAGGAGACTACAAGAATCTAGGCCATACCCAGGATTCTGGAGTCAACAAAGTCCCAGGTTTTACCCAAAATTCTGATTGCCACAGGAGTACAGACCTTCCCCAAGCCACTGAAGTTGGAAAAAGATCCAATCTAACCCAAGATGTTGGCATTTACAGGAGCCCAGAACATGGCCAAGAGTCTAACCTCCACAAGTGTCCAGGAATTAATCAAGATCCTGGCCCTCATAAGGACCCAGCAGTTGTCCAAAACTCTGGCCTCTGCAAGATTCCAGGTCTTTCTGACGAATCTGGCCTTCAGAAAGATGCATGTCTTATCCAAGTTCCTGGTCTCCATGAGAATCCAAGCCTTGCTATAGGTACTGACTCTGTCCAAGTCGATCCACATCTGACCCCACAGCCAACACCATGTTTGATGAAGTCATTTAAATATGAGACAGCTCCTCAGAAGGAGAGAGCAAAGCATCATGTATCCTGGGCTTCTGTTCCAATCAACCAAAACTTCTGTCCTTCCAAGCCCCAGCTAATCTCCACTGGCCTGCAAACCTTCTCAGAGGTACCTGTACTAATTGAGCTGCAACCATCCTCCCGACAGGCAGGCAGCCAAGACTGGGTATACCACCCTGTGGATACAGTTCCTTCAGCTTCCCAGAACTATCGCCAGAGGTCTATGCCTCCCAAAATCAACTGGAAGCCCCACTGCCCTAGACCAAGCACCCGGACAGGGCATGTGGTCTTTGATGCTCGACAGAGACAGTTAGCAGTGGGCAGGGACAAATGTGAAGCTCTGTCTGCCCGGCGCCTTTGCCGAGAGGCACCCAGGAACTCAGGGGAGACCACCAAGGAGTGGGGATATCAGAATGTGATGAGAACCTCAGACAAAGAGGGGACAAATCAGTAATAAAGAGAGAAGAGAAGTATTCTTTGGTTTTTCTAGGCCATCCATCCCAGACCCATCCCTGATGGTGACCACTGACAGTCTAATGAGGACTAGAACTATCACGTCCCTGCTACTACTCCACAGATCCTTAGCCAAACCCATTATTCTCCAGGCCCCAGGCCTGCATTTACAATACAGTAGCCCACTAGCCAAATGTGGCTATCAAAATGGTAATTAAAATTTAAAATTCTGTTCCTCAGTCTCATGATTTACTTTTCAAGGGCATAAAAGTCACATGTGGGTAGTGGCTGCTGTATTGGACAGCACAGATTTAGGACGTTTCATCATCACAGAAAATTCTTCTGTTGGATAACAGTATTTTAGAGTTTAAAGAACCTTCCTTCTCCTTGTCATCCATCACATTTTCAAAATACCCAAAGGGCCCAGAGAATGTTATTTCTTTTTAGGCTACTTTCTAGGTAAGGAGTGAGATGTAGGGATGCCCAGGTCTAGTTACTCCAGATTCTGAGAAAAAGCCCAGTTTTTAGCTATCCGGATCTGGCCTCTTGAGTCACAACTGGATGTATGGAAACCTACATTACCTAATTCTGGGCTGTTTTTGTGCTCTCAGTTCCCTATTCCTGGTGGCTGTGGGAAAAGGGCTATCTTTGTCAGTGACTTTTGAGGTCTGGGCTTCCCAAATTCAGCTCTGGTTTCAGGAGTTCACTCTTTTACAGGCTTCTAATTTTTCGCAATGTCTCTGCTTAATTCTCTTGCTTATGAACTTAGGCCTATCCTATTTTGAAGATAAACCATGTGAGAAGGAATGTAAGAAGTTCTGAGGGCCGGGAATTTAGCTCAGTGGTGCCGCCGCCTGCCTTGCAAGTGAAAGGTCCCGAGTTCGATCCCCAGTACAAAAAAAAAAAAAAATTCCTGGGCCAGCAATGCATTGGTCTAATCTGTGAGCCTGCTGCTAGTTTCCTATCCTTCTGTCCCAATATCCCTGCCTATGATCAAGCTAGGCTACTGAAAGCAATTTCCTGCCCTTGATTATCTTCCATTGCCTTGCCCCCAGTCTAGCTGGGAGTTTCCTCTATACTTGCTCTTCAGTCCTGATATATCTACAGTGTACATACAGCTGTAAAATTTTGAAGTGCTTATCCTGCCATAACTCCTGCATGTCTGAGATGGACATCGCTATTATGTCTGTCTCTTCCACAAGTCAGATGTTCATTCCTGGATCACACACCACTAATTCCAAAAGAACCCTCCACCCAGCCAGGAAGCCCCTTTCCAACACTTGCCAGATTCAGCTCTTGGACAAGTGTACATCTTTCTAAGTCACAGTCTTTCCATCCCCCAATGAGAGAAACTCATCATTTCATGAAATAATACTCTTATATTTAAATATCCAGAGGGGATGCAGGACCCCTATTTCTCCCCAGGCCCTAGGGTGTATCCATTATGGTTTGTTTGGTTTGGTTTGGTGCCGGGGATTGAACTCGGGACCTTGCGCTTGTGAGGCAGGCGCCGGAACCACTGAGCTAAACCCCCGGCCCTCCATTACGGTTTGTTATTAGTTCCATCCAATTACTCCTCTACTCTAACTCCGAGGAAGGTTTCTGAAGGATTGACAGAACATTAAATAACATAGAAACTACAACTTCCATCAGGCACTGTTTCAGCGGAACAGGAAAGGAGGTGGGGGCGTGGCTCCAACGCCCCGGTAGCGCAGAAAACGAACTACAACTCCCAGGGTAGCGCGAGATCTCCGCAGAGTGAACCGAGTCAGAACTCTCACCCGAGGCGGGACATTCCTGGAGCCACTCCTGCAGCCTTCCGAAAAGGGCGTGGTCGAAATCCAGGGGCGTGGGCAAATGGGCATCAGGAGGAAGTTACCTGTTGAATTTCCCTGTCCTTTCTCTTACCGACCTTTATAGTTATTCCTAAGAGGGAAACCGCAGAACAATAAGCCTCTTCTGAAAAAGAGGTAATGGGGAGGTAGGCAGGGGCGGCGACTAAGACTGGCTACTGCATTCCGGAGGAGAGGCCCAACAAGTGCTTTTTACCTGCTAAGCCAAATGAACTGGTTCACGGGGCGGGCACCTGCATTTGAGAAAAGGGCAAGGACGAGAAAGGTACTGTATTTGTTCATTTTGAAGACTATACTTAGAATCTATCATCTGCAGACCCATTTGGGGGACTTCTTTGACCTCAGAAGAAGGGAAGAGCTGGAGTGACTTTGGTAGCAAAAGAAGCCTGTCCTGGTACCTCCCTTGTGTCTTTTGCCTAGCCAAACACTACAGAGTAGTAGCATGGCTTCCGCCGTCTGGGGGAGTGCCCCCTGGTGGGGCCCGCCGCCCCCGGCCCCAGCCCGGCCTCTCACGGACCTTGACTTCTGCTCTGGGGCGCAGCTGCAGGAACTGACCCAGCTGATTCAGGAGCTCGGAGTGCAAGAAAGCTGGAATGACGGGCCTCATCCGGGAGCAGACCTCCTCCAGGCCAAGGACTTCGTCTTCTCATTGCTTGGTAAGCAACCCTTCCTCCCTGTAGGAACTCGCAGTCCTTAGCCTTGCCATTCATTCCCCGCTCCAACTTTGGACGATATCCTCACGATCACTTCTCTTCCCTTAGGTCTAGTTCATCGCCAAGACCCCCGTTTTCCTCCCCAGGCAGAGCTTTTGCTACTTCGTGGTGGGGTTCGCGAGGGCTCCCTGGATCTGGGGCATGCACCCTTGGGTCCCTACGTCCGCGGACCTCATTACGACGCCGGCTTCACTCTCTTAGTCCCAGTATTTTCGCTGGACAGCAGTGGGTCAGAGCTGCAACTGGACCTAGAATCCTGTTCCGCACGGCTCCGCCTCCCAGAGCTGGTTCTGGGAACCTCCATACGGGAGGCGTGGCAGGATTGCCTGGAACCTCCAGTACCAGGAGGACGTGATTTGAGTCACCAAACAGAGAGGGAAGGAAGCCCCAAAGACGAGCAAAGCTCGGTGGTCCAGGCGCGCAGTTACATCACTGAGTCTGAGCTGCACGTATTTTTGGAAAAATCACCTAGTGACCTTTCAGGGCCAGAGTCGTCTCAGTATGACGTCACCCACCTTGGCTCTTCCGAACCTTTGCAAGAACTGAGTACTGACGTCACCGAGGCAACCTTCAAAGGTCCAGTTCCACAGCCGTCAGAGGTTAGGGGGACATGGCCCACTTTGTGTCCAGCCCAAGTGGCCGCCTGGTTCTTCACTACTCTGGCCACAGTTGCCAAGTCCCTCGTTCCTGTACCGGGGGCCCCGCGCCTGGTGCACGCAGCCCGCCACTCGGGCTTCACCACCATCCTCCTGGCAACGCCGGGGTCCCCGCGGCACCTATTGCTCTTCGACTTGATCCCGGTGGTGTCCGTGGCGGGCTGGCCCGAGGGGGCTCGGAGCCACTCATGGGCGGGGCCTCTGCCCTCAGAGTCAGCCTCCTTCTACCTGGTACCAGGCGGCGGCACCAACCAGGACGCCTCCAGCTGGCAGCTGTGCTTCGCTCGCCAAGAGCTGGCGCTCAAGACACGCATACCGGCGCCGCTGCTGCAGGCGCACGCGGCTGCCCAGGCGCTACTGCGCCAACTGGTGGCCGGGACGCGGACCGCGGCGCCCTACCTTCTGCGAACGCTGCTGTACTGGGCTTGCGAGCGGCTGCCGGCGCTCTACCTGGCACGGCCAGAAAATGCGGGCGCCTGCTGCCTCGGGTTGCTGGATGAGCTGGGCCGCGTGCTCGAGGCCGGAACACTGCCTCACTATTTTCTGAGTGTCCGAAAGCTCCGTGCGGGGGAAGGTTCCGCTACTCTCCTGGGGGCGTTGGTCCAGCTCCGCGGGGACCCTGCCCGGGCCCTGCGTGCAGCGGTGGAAGAAGCCAAGGTTGCCCGAAAGGGGGGCGGCTTGGCAGGCGTGGGGAGCGGGGCCCATTAAAGACTCTACTCCTACCCTCGTGGAAAATGTTTCTCTTGGCATGTGAGGCCCTGGCGAGGACTGCTGGCCTCTTGCACAGGAGATACACTGTGTGCTCTTGACCCAAAGTCTTCCAGAAGGCCTCTGGGCATGTCCTCCCATTCCTCTGCCCCGTACCTGGCGCAGGTGGTCCCTTTGTCCAAATCTGGCCAGCCCCTTCCTCCCCTGGTGCAGCCTCCGGCAGCTACCTCTCCCCAGTTCTTTTGGTCTATTTTCTGAGATGGAAGCAATGTATTTACTGACGAAATGTGCAAAGGAGAGGTATGGAAACCAGAGACTGATCAATTTGGCACACAAAAGCAGAGATATTAAGAAGGCCGGATTTCGCCCCAGGCTGGATTTTACCACCACCCCCATGTCTTCAGCTCTTCCCACTTTGTTCATCCAGTTCTGGCCTCCCTTCCATCCCAGGCACCCTCTCCTTTCTCCCGCCATTCGCCATTCCATCTGAAGTCCAAACTCTCCCCCTATCCGGGGTTCCTTGTCCCGCCTCTGAATCCTGAGACGTGCCTGTCCTCTGTTCCGCCGGCCTCTGGGACAGTCACCACTCCCTGCCTATAAGGAACCCCAAGGTTCTGCCTGCCCAGCCTCACCCCCCTTTTCCAGCGTCTCCGCCCCCTGCCCCGCCCCCTGGCTCTCTGAGGACGGTGAGCTGCTGCTGTAGGCGCCGCCGCCGCCGCCGCCGCCGCCGCCGCCGCCGCCGCCGCCGCCGCTCTACCTAATCCAGCCGCCAGGCCCAGTGCTCTGACTTCGAGACCAGAGCGCTCTACAGAGACACCCTCACTCCTTCGTGGGAGTCCGGGACGCCTAGCTGGGTGCTGGGAGAAGCTCCGCTTGCGGGGGACAGGGAGGGAGGAGCCTGGAGCTGGAGCCGGAGCCAGGGCCACCCTTCGCCTGGATCAACAGGACGGGACAGGTTGAGGGGGGTCGGGGAATGGAAAGGGGGGTGATATAGGCAGTCTCCAGGAGGACTAGTAACCCCTGCCGCAGGAAGCTCTGATGCGCTGACTTGTTGGGGGCCTGTTCACATGTGGGGACAGGTGACAAAGTGGGTGCACGCCTCTTTTGGGGGGCTGGTTAAGATTGGAGGGTGTGGGATCTAAACAGCATGAGCTGTCCCTGAGGAAATTTAAGAGCAACCAGGAAAGAAAAAAAAAACCACATAAGCGAATGCTCCTTATTTGGAGGTGACAGAGGGTCCTCCGGACAACCACCTGGTGTATCCACTAGAAAGGGTGGATTTGGAGGTGACTTCAAAAAGAGTGGAGGGCAACAAGGTGAGGAAAGGGTCTCAGCAGCTTGAACGCTATGCTACTAGAAATGGGGGAGACAGTAAAAGCCGTTGTCCAGCTAGAGGATCTGAGAACCCCTTTTCACTGAACCTGCACAACCCTGATACTGAGACATATTTTAGGGGGATTTCAGTTAAAAAGTGGGAGATCCTCTTCATTTAGAAGGTAGCAAAAGAAAAAGCACCAAGGTTGGGTTCCTCCTTGACATTGAACAGTGGCCCAGAAGGAGTGGGGTGAACTAATATCCCCAACTAAGGATCTACATTTTTTAGATTACAAGAGTGGATCTGACTGGAATGTGGGCCCTAAAATAGGATGGAAAGATGTCTGAGGATATTAGGACCACATCCTAGAAATTTTGGAGGTCTTGGCTTCGGGATAGAGGCAGTAGGGACCAAGACAAGAGGAGAGGGAAGGGGGTAGTTTTCAGTAGGGGACAAAATTGGAGGGTGAGGTCAGCTGAGGAGTGCATAGGCTGCTGGATCCGGTGAAGCTAGCACAGGGCCCAAGGGTGGGAGCTGGCAGCTTTTGGGGGTATTTGGGGGAGTCTGGGACTTATCCTCAGGTCCTGTGGGTGGGGCAGTGAGTTAGGGCCAGATCGTCAGGAGCATGCCTTGGTGAGACGGCTCCTCTGGAGGAGCCCAGCGCTCTCCAGGCGCCCGCTGGTTTGGGGGTGTCTCCTCCCGGGGCGCCATGGCGGCGCTGGCCAGTAGCCTTATCCGGCAGAAGCGGGAGGTCCGCGAGCCCGGGGGCAGCCGGCCGGTGTCGGCGCAGCGGCGCGTATGTCCCCGCGGCACCAAGTCCCTTTGCCAGAAGCAGCTCCTCATCCTGCTGTCCAAGGTGCGACTGTGCGGGGGGCGGCCCGCGCCGCCGGACCGCGGCCCGGGTGAGTGCGGCTGGGGTGGGGTCACCGGGCCAGAAGTCCCTGCCTGGGAAGGTTCTGGCCAAGGACTCTGAAGAATGGAGCCTGGCTGGGGTTGGGGGGTCCCCGAAAGTGGAAGGGGTGGGCCAGAATGACAAGTCTACCAGACTGTGCCTCAGTTTCCCTCCTCTTTTGTCCATAATACCGAGTCTCCTTGCTTTCGAGGGCAAGTGGGCTTGAGGGGCTAAGTCTGGCCCCCTACGCCTTGCAGCTCCTGCCCGCCCCCTCTCAACACGGGAGTCCCCACCCCCACTCTCCTCCGCCTACGTGCCGGTTCTCGCGATTCTTTCAATCCTGAGTGGAGGGGCCTGGGGGTTCCGGACGCCTGGGTCACCCCGAGGGTTTCTGCAGCTCCGGGCTCCCCGCCCTGGTTCTACCGCTCCTCCACTCCTTGGCTCCGTTCCTTCCTGGTTGAGCTCGCCTGGCTCGGAGCCAATCTCCCCAGCTCTCCCTCGGGTGTCCTTGCAGCAACCTCGCCAGCCAGCCCCTCTGTGCGCCCTCCTCCTGTGACCTGATCTTCAAGAAGGGAGCTGGGTACCCCCTCCCGGTACCTCCGCGCGACTCCGTAATCGGGTCCCAACGGCCAAGGAGACCCTGTGCGTAGGGGAACTCAAACACAGTTCGTGGCGGGAGCCCCGCACAGACTTGGGGGTCGTACCACCTACAAGGGGGGTCAGGGAAGTCAGCAGAGAGCAAGCGGCGGGGAGGAGAGTTGTGTGCTAGCTTGTGGTCCCCGTCCAGGTACAACAGTTAGGGAGTCCCTCTGGCCCCAGTCCAGCCGGTTCCCAGTTCCTCTCGGGGTAGCCCCTTGCGTCCTCCTTCCCCACAACCGGCCGGCCACAGTGGTACAGTCCGCAGCCCACCCTGTGAGTGGGACCCGGCCTGCATGTGACTCAGCCTGCCTCTCCACTTCCTCGGCCCCCTCCCCCCTTTTCCTTGATTTGCTTCCGAAGGTCCCTCTCACCCCAGCCTGGTTACCTGGCCGAAGAGGAGAGGCTGAGGCTCAGCGAGAACTAGGCCCCCCGCGAGCCAGAAGCTAGACAGACAAGACAGACAGATGGGTCAGTGTCAGACAGGCCGGCGCTGGGCCAAAGCGAGGCCCGAGCCAAGCGAGCGGCAGCCGCAGCAGCAGGTGCTGAGTCAGCGTCAGGCCCAGACCCACTCCCATCCCTGAGAGAGAGCCCCTTCCCTGTGGTCACCTTGCCGCCTCCCCCACCCCATATTCACTAGCACCGCGCCCTTTCAGTAGTCCTACGTGTGTTCCTCCGTCCGCTGCCTTTTGATGTATCTCTCCCCTTCTTCCTCCCTTTCCCCTCCCCCCTCCTGGTTGAGCTGTAGAGTAGGAATTAAGCCATTTAAATAAATTTCAATAAATTAAACCGAAAGCTGGTGATTAGAGGAAACAGAAGGGACCCAAACCCCAGCTTTGCCAGGAGTCAAAGAGAAGTGGGAGAGAGCTTGTTTTAAGGTTAAGAGTGCTGAGGCCCTGAGCCCGGCTTCCTTCCCCTCACTCTCCCTTTTTTCTTTCCTGTGATCCCAAAAAGTGTAAGAATGTTTCTGGGAACAGAGACGTCATTTTCAAAGATAAATGTCTCTCTCTCTCCAGAGCCTCAGCTCAAAGGCATCGTCACCAAACTGTTCTGCCGCCAGGGTTTCTACCTCCAGGCGAATCCCGACGGGAGCATCCAGGGCACCCTGGAGGACACCAGCTCCTTCAGTGAGAGGGGATGGCAGCTGCTGGGTGGGAAGGGGGAAGGGGGAAGATGGGGATAGGAGATGTCAATTCTATTCCCTCGTCAGGTTCTGTTGCTTTCGGTCGGTCTGTCTCCTGGACCCCCAAGGGAAACAGTGGAACTGAGGTTGGGGAGCGAAGATGGGGCTGAGGTGCCCCGGTAGTGATGCTTCCTCTGTCCTTCCTCAGCCCACTTCAACCTGATCCCTGTGGGGCTTCGTGTGGTCACCATCCAGAGTGCCAACCTGGGTCACTACATGGCCATGAATGCTGAGGGGCTGCTCTACAGCTCGGTGAGACCATGAGGCTGAGTAGCCTGGGGTACTGGGGCAGCTATAGGCATTTTGTACCCAGGACTCCCTCCCCTTCCAGCTTTGGCTGATGGAGTATTATAACTGGCCACCTCACAGCTCTTCTTCTAGGTGTAATACCTACCCCTACAGCCTCCCAAGTACCCCCAGGCTCTTTGAATGTCTGACACTTTCAGCCTTTTAGGATCCCCATCTCTCCTTCTTCCTCCTCCAGACTTCATTGTTACTTACTTCCCCAGAGTCATTCAGGAGAGGTGACCCTGAGATGTTGGGAGTGAAGAGAAAGGTCTTATTCTAAGGCCCCCACAGGTCTAGTTAATAACCCTCAGGGGCCTATCAGGCTCTTCCTTGTTCTCTTGCTCCCAATTCCCCATGGACTCAAAAGTTGCTCTCATCTTCCTTCAAAATGCATATATATCCTGGTTTGTTGAGGGCTTTCTTCTTCCAGTGATGTCTCTTCCTGCCTCTGTGTGTGCCTTTTTGGATCTTTGTCTCCTCAGCCACATTTCACAGCTGAATGTCGCTTTAAGGAGTGTGTTTTTGAGAATTACTACGTCCTGTATGCCTCTGCTCTCTACCGCCAGCGTCGTTCTGGCCGAGCCTGGTACCTAGGGCTGGACAAGGAGGGCCGAGTCATGAAGGGAAACCGAGTCAAGAAGACCAAGGCAGCTGCCCATTTCATGCCCAAGCTCCTGGAGGGTGGGTATGGACAAAGGAAAAGGCGGGAGGCCATGTGGGAGGGTATTGACCTTGACATGGACATTTAGTGGGATAAAGCCCAGGCTATGAGTGTTAAGAGGACATTGTTATAACAAGACAGGAAGGCTTTGGCCTTTGAGCATCTGGGGAGTTCTCCTCCTTTGGGCTGGGGTTCTTGGGGGGCAAGTGTAGGGGAAGGGAGTCCTCTCAGAGCTCTGGTTTTGCCTGAGTCTCTCTATGCCTAACTCTCTTCCCTGCTCCTTTCTCTCTCCCCTTCACAGTGGCCATGTACCGGGAGCCTTCTCTCCACAGTGTCCCTGAGCCCTCTCCTTCCAGTCCTCCTGCCCCCTGACATGTAGTCCTTGGACTGGAGGCTCCCTGTACACCCAATGAGCCAGCCACCGCCACAGCCCGTCTCCCAGTCCTGCTCCTGGCCCTGCTCTCACCCTTGCTGCCACAATGCCCTGAGCAGCTGGGTCCCACCAGGTGCTCTACCTTGAGGGAGCCTGGGGCTGGCTGGGGACTTCCAGGGCTTCTGAAACTCTTGGATCCTTGGGTCAGAGAGGGGATCAGAGGGGGTGGTATCTGAAAATGGTCCTGGGTGATCACTTCTTTTTTTCCACATTAACACCACTTCCCAAAGCATTGTCCTGAAATGGCACCAGGGGTTCCAAAACTGACAGAGCTAGGGTATAAACACTCTTTACCTCCCACTCAGCCATTTTCTGGAACCCTGTGCCCCTTTTCATTGCCCCTGAGCCATAGATTTATAGGTCTACTGGAGCTCAGGATCAGTTTCTTTCTTTCCCTGCTCTGCCTTCTGCCTTGGTCTGGTCAGGTTCTGAAACACCAAAAACCCAGTGGGGCCACTCCTTTTCTAGGGCCCTCTGCTGGACCCCAGGCATGCTGCCAGACTGTGTTCTGGATTCATCAAGCTTCTGTCCATGACCTAGGTGGACTCCCGACTTCTAAGTAGAGAAAGGTTGGATTATAGCCCTATCTTGTGGTCAGCCTTGGTCTGAACAGGGACCAGTCTCAGATTACCACCGGTTTAACATTCTTATCCCAGAGACCCCCCAATACTAAAGCATGGTGTCCTAGACCTTTACAGAGTTATACTCCTTCCTAAATCTCAGTTCTAGGACATAGACCGTGACTCTCAGCCCTTCTCTCTAGCATGGAACTGGGGCCTGTATAGCCATATTATTACTCTAGAGATACCTATTAAGAACGAGTTCTGGAAAGGACCTAGGTCTAATTCCCATAGAACTAATTAGTTCTACTTGAATCAAGAACTTTTTTTCCCCTAGGTAATTTTCTAAAAATCTTATCCTTCCATATAGAATGGTAACCTTTAAATGCAATTTCTAGTTCCTGCAACTAAACTGGGGTCCTGCCAGAGAGTCTGAAGAAGCATAGAGGAATTTGGCAGGATCTCTGGCTCATGATAGAGAAGCTGGAGGAGGGGGAGGGCAAAGGCATGGGATGACTAAACCTGTGCTGAGTTGGGGGACATGACCACTTAGCTACCTCAGCAGGAATTCCTTCCAAGTCCCCTTTAAAGCTGAGGTCTTTATGGCAAGTGTGATTAGAATAAAAGGACAAATGGGAGTCATCCTTGATACCCTCCCCAAGTGAGAATAACCTAACTCAGCAATAAGTCCCACCCTTCTCCCTACGGGTCAGGCCAAGGAGGGTGAGGGCCTCTTGGACTCAAGACCTACACCTTCAGAGCTTCTAACTGAATAGAACTTGCTTTATCTTACAGTTTATAACCTCAGCTGGGTTTTCAGTACCCAAAAAGGGCCAGACTAGATTATTCTGAAAAACACAGTGAGACCTAGTGGCAGGCCTGGAAAAGGCCAGAAAACCGCTAATGAACTAGAAAGGAGTCCAACAGACCTGGGTGGAATAGACTGAGGAGGCCCTAAAAGAGAGGCTAGTGCTTAAAGGCAGGTCATTTTTCTTCAGGCTCTTTTACTTCTGGCTTGTTGCAAAGGGGGTAGATGCCCGCCTCACCTACCCAAACCCGCTCAAGCTCCACCCATTTCCTGGCTCTGCTGCTAGGGGAACAGTTCTCCACTTCATGCTTTCTCAATTAAAGACGATTTGTACAACTGAAGGATTTGTCTGTCATCTGTGAATGGCCACGGCAGTTGCTGGGGCGGGACCAAATCGCGGAGGCGGGGCGGGTGGGCTGGCGGCTGCCCCCGACAACAGGTGCACATTCCTGGGCTCCTCGTCACTTCCCCTGCGCTGGCGGGCCCCGGCTGCTCTCGGAGCAAACTCACCGAGCGTAGCGGCCAGGCTATGACCCCAGGGGCACTGCTGCTGCTTCTGGGAGTCCTAGGGGCGCCGATCGCCCCAGGTAAGTCAGTCTGGGCCCCGAAGAGGCAGTAACAGGGGCAACGGTTGTGGCCGGGGACCTGGGCTTCACTTAATGCTCTCCTCCCACAGGCGCCCGAGGCTCGGAAGCGGAGGGCCGACTCCGCGAGAAACTTTTTTCGAGCTATGATAGCTCGGTGCGGCCGGCGCGGGAAGTGGGAGACCCCGTCCGGGTTAGCATTGGGCTCATCCTGGCACAACTCATCAGCCTGGTGAGGGCGCACGCTGGGGGTTGAGGTCCGGCCGCAGGCCCGCTGGGGGCGTGGCTTTATGCAGGGCGGGACCGACTATCGGGCTGAGGGCGGAGCCTGACCTGAGGTTGGGCTGTGAGTTGGACTAGCCTTTAGCGGAGATTGGATAGAAGTTCGACCAATGAACGAGTCTGTGGGCCTGGCCCACAGCAGAGCCAGGTAAGGTGATGCCTCCGCCTGTAGACAGATGTTGAAGTGGAGCCAGGCGGGTGGACACACCAGGGGAAGGACCTTCAGGCAGGGACGCACAAGTTCTGACAGGGTGGGGCGGAGCCTGGTGCTCAACCAGTAAATAAACAGCGGCTAATGGCGATTCGGGGTTGGAGGGATTATGTTTGAGCTGGGGTGGGGAGGTGCAAAACAGCCAGGCGTGGGGCCAGACGGGAGCGAGGTTAGCAGGAAAGCTGAGCGTTGGCGGCAGGAAGGGGTGTTGCCGAGGTAGATTGGCCAGGGGCTTAAACTAATGCACCTTCTAGGAGTAGGGGCTTGGGCCCAGATGGTGGGCCTCAGACAAAGTGGGTGGAGTCTTTGGAGAGCTGCCGAACTGCCGAGGCCCTCATTTCTCTCCATCTCACCTCGCCTCTACTCTTTAAACTTTTCCCTTTTAGAACGAGAAGGATGAAGAAATGAGCACTAAGGTGTACTTAGACCTGGTATGGAGAACCGGTGGGATTGGGAAGGGCATCCTGCCCCCTTTACAATCTCCTGCCAAGCGTGGTGACCTAGTTCCTATATCCCAGCCCTCTAGGAGGCTAAGACAGGGGGGTCAAAAGTTTGAGCCCAGCCTGGGGAATTTAGCCAGACCCTCTCTCAAAATATAAATTAAAACAAAAATAAAAAGACCGATCCGGGCAAAGATCCTGGGTTCAATCTCCAGTCCCGGGGCGGGGGTAGGGAGGAATTTTTTTTTTTTTGAGACAGGGTCTCGCTATGTAGTTCAGGCTGGCATTGAACTCACTATATAGTCCAGGCTGGCCTCGAACCCTCGGCAATCCTCCTGCCTCAACCTCCCCAGTGCTGGGATTACAGGCGTGTGCCACCATGCCTGGTGAGGAGCGATGTTTCTTGAATCATGATCTCAGAAAACATGTTTATAACTGAACCAGAAACTTCAGGAAACAATATGTATGGGAGTTACTTTCCATACATTTTTCATTCTAAGTTTTAAAAACACTGATTTGGGCCGGGGGATTTAGCCCAGTGGTTCCGGCACCTGCCTCGAAAGCACAAAGTCCAGAGTTCAATCCCTGGTATAAAAAACAAAGCAAAACACTGATTTGAACCACTAACTTGACTCACCATCCACTAAAAAATGGAGAATTGCAGTTTGAAAACCAGTTTTAGAGGCTAGCTAGTACAACTCTTCATTTTTACAGACTAAATAATTGGGACCCAGAGCAGGCACGGGAGTGGGATAAATTAGCTGATGTGGATCCCAGTGAGCAAAGGCCCCTTGACCCCACAGCCCTTGCCTGTCCTGCCCCATCTCTTGCATTCCTTTCCCCGGCCTCAAGCCCCAAACAGCCCCTCAGAGTCTGCTTCCTAGGAATGGACTGACTACAGGCTGAGCTGGGACCCTGCGAAGCACGATGGCATTGATATGCTGCGAATCACAGCTCAATCTGTGTGGCTACCTGATGTGGTGCTGCTGAACAAGTAGGATCTGTACTACGCTGAGGGGTGGGCGGGGCCCGGGGCCTGGTTGGGAGGGGGCACGGTGTCAGTGGTCGGAGACTTTGGAGGAATAGTCCTGGTCTCAGGTATGAGGACCCCTTCCCTGCAGCAATGATGGAAATTTTGACGTGGCTCTGGACATTAACGTCGTGGTGTCTTCCGATGGCTCAGTGCGCTGGCAGCCCCCAGGCCTCTATCACAGCAGCTGCAGCATCCAGGTTCCTAGGACCCTCCCTGAGAAGCTCAAAGAACTCTTAGAAACTCTCCCTCTCCTAGACATTTTGACTCCTCAGTGCTTCCCACCCCCCCTCCCCCGGTCCTTATGGCCTCATTTCTCATTTGTCCGTCTGATTTTCCCTTAAGTGTCTGTCCTTTTCTCTGTTCATCTTTTTTGACATTCAGTCTTCCTCATGACCCTTCTCTATTTCCACAATGGCCTCCCTTAATAGCCCTCCTCCAGTTCCTCTATGACCCCTCTTCTCTGTGACCTCCCCTGGTGATCCCTATCTCCTTGGTGCCCCAAAGCCTGTGACCTCTCTGAGGACTCCCAAACTCCACAAATGGAATGACTCCCTTCTCCATCCAGGTCACTTACTTCCCCTTTGACTGGCAGAACTGCACCATGGTGTTCAGTTCCTACAGCTATGACAGCTCAGAGGTCAGCCTGCAGACAGGCCTGGGTCCTGACGGGCAAGAGCGGCAGGAAATCTATGTTCACGAAGGGACTTTCATTGGTGAGTGGACACAGCTTCCACATCTGCAGGCTTTCTGATTTCTAGTTTCTAATGTGATAAATAGACTCTGCCAGCAATGCCCAGACTAACCCTGTGGAGTCAGCAAGATGGGGACCACTATCAACATTTTCTGAATGTGGAAAGTGAGACATGCATAAGTTTATAGAAATAGACTGCCCTGCAGAGTGGAACATAGCTGGTATTGACAAGGATAGCTCATACACTGGTGTCCCCTTCTTCTCTCCCACCAGAAAATGGCCAGTGGGAGATTATCCACAAGCCCTCTCGACTAATCCAGCCTCCAGGAGACATCAGGGGAGGGAGGGAAGGACAGCATCAGGAAGTCACTTTCTACCTCATCATCCGCCGGAAGCCTCTCTTCTACCTGGTCAACGTCATTGCCCCATGTATCCTTATCACTCTCCTGGCCATCTTTGTCTTCTACCTGCCACCAGATGCAGGTAAGGAGGAAGGGACCATAGCCTTTCTCACTATTAGCTCAGCTTCTTCCTCTTTAGCCTTAATCCAGAAAGGGTTTTCTTGCCAACGCAAGCCATCATGATTGGACTTCAGCAACCCCAGGTTTTCTTTCCCACCAAGTAGAACTGAGGAGGCTCTGCAGCCCCTCTGCTTCTGGCTTCCTCCACCCAGTGATATCAGAACTCTTCTCTTTAGCATCCTAGCCCCTCAGCCATGGAATTTCCACTTCCATGGAATTCTCCAATTCTGGGCTGAGCAAATGCTCCCTTTTCCTTTCCTCATTCCTGGCAAGCTCCCCATCTCCCACTCTTTAGCTACCCACAAGTGCCTTAACTTTCTGTTTCCCTGGGAAATAATTGTCAACATTTCTCCAGGAGAAATTATAATGTAGTAACAGAGAAACCGTGGGCAAATTTTTAATTTCCATGTATGTCATTTTCCCAATCTGGAAATGAGGATTGATGGAATTAATAAAACAAGGCCTGATACCCAGTAAGTTCTATATGTTTGTTTGTTTATGGGTTTTTTGCTATTTTTGAGCACTTGCTATAAGTAATATAATTAACATTAACATGTATTAACTCAGTTCTAATCTTTACAAAAACTAAGGTAAGTACTGAATTGTTATTCCTATTTTATGGCATAGAGTACTGAGAAAGTATAAGTTACTTATTTGATATCACACAGGAAGTGGCAGTGTTGTTATTCCAACCCTGGTCAGTGCCAGTCTGATTCAGAGATCTGATATACTTAACTCTGTTTTTTTTTGCTTTTTGTTTTTGTTTTATTTATTTTTTCTGAGACAGGGTTTCACAATGTAATTCAGGCTGGCCTTGAACTCACTATGTAGTCCAGGCTGGCCTCAAACTCGAAGTGATCCTCCTACCTCAGCCTCCCAAGTGCTGGGATTTACAGGCATGGGCCACCAATCCTGGCTTGTATACTCTTTCATTTGTAGATCCTTCAAATTGTTATATTATCCTGGCATGGTGGCACACACCTGTAATCCCAGCACTTGGGAGGCTGAGGAAGGAGGATCACTGCAAGCTCAAGGCCATCATGGGCTACATAGTGAGTGCAAGGCTAATGTGAACTACATAGAGAAACCCTGTCTCAAAAAACCAAACAACAGGGGCTGGGCATTTAGCTCAGTGGTTCCGCCGCCTGCCTCGAAAGTGCAAGGTCCCGAGTCCAATCCCCGGTATCAAAAAAACCCAAACAAACAACGGTGGGCCCAGAGTTTGATCTCTGGTATCGGGAAAAAAACAAACAAACAACAACAACAATAACAAATTGGTATATTATTCCTGAAAAGAGCTACAGAAGTTGGTTGGTCCCTTCATTTGTGCAACTATATTTGTTGAGTTGTACTATAATGTATTAGGCCCTGAGAATACATCAGTAAATTGTAAAAAAAAATAAAATTCATGATCTCCGAGTTTACATTCTAGTGGGAGAATAACTCAATAAACAAAATAAATAAGTCTATTATATAGTATATTAAAAGAAAGCAAGTTCTAAACAGGAAAATAAAAGTTTAAAAAAGAGGGTTAGGGAGTAAGAATGGGAGTAGGGATTTCAATTTAAAAATGAGATGT